TGAAATGCAGGGAATGCAACATATTGATATGAATGATGTTTCCATGGATACTATGACACTTTACTTTAGGCAAGCGTTGCATTCTGCAATAGATGTGGTTGTCGGTGGCATGAAGAGTAGATATAATTCTCTACTTTTTGATAATGATGAACAAGGTCCTGCAAAGGCAGTAAACTTTTCTATTTTCAATCATTAAATGTGGCCTGATGATAATCTAGAGCTTGTCGACTTTGGTGAAAATAAGCTACTGTATTTAGTAGATTGGTTTAGACAAGTATTGGAGAGGTATTTCATAACTGAGTTAAGCATTCAACTAATTGTTTTTATTGTTTGCATGTTTGAATAGTTTTGTTATTATTTAACATTCCCATGCCCATCCCCTGGCCCACCTTCTGCATGTAGTTTAAATATTGTATGTGTTGATGACGAATGGCTATGATATATCAATGTAATATTCAACTTGAAAATGATAATGCATGATTGACTATTTTGTATAATTATGATATCACAACATATTCTAGCTTATTATTCAACTGTTCATTTCAGAAATGGGTGTAACTGTGAATCAATACCTGTAGAGTGGGGTATACTGAATACACTCGTTGCAAACGAGTTCATGGACAAATCCTTTACAGGGTTGTGGGAGACAATTCTTACCAAAGAGCCATATGAAGATGATTTTGAGGTAAAATCTCAGTCACACTAATTTTAATATTATGACTGAAAATATAAACACAAGATGTTAATTTTAATTTATATTCATTTCTTTTTATTTAGAACACCTTGTGAAAATACTCCTTGTCATACCAGTATCAAGTGCACAATGTGAACGAACGATTTCTACTGCCAATAGAATTAAATCTGATGTCAGGAGCTGCTTGGATCCAACAACTGTTGAGACTTTAATTCGTATTAGTGAAGAAGGACCTGAAATATCTCAGTTTAAACCAAATGCATACATTTCAAGATGGTTTGTAAGCCCCAGAAAAGTACATAAGAGGTGGCCCCTAGAATTTGAGTGCGAAAATGAGTAATAAAGCATTAGGATAAACATGTTGAAAATGACTTTTTGTATTTTTTATCAATAAAACAACAACTGATGTTACAAATAAATAAAGTAAAACTTGAGTTTCAATAAATGGCAACCAAACATTTGTTTGATGGCGACCAAAAATTTCAAATGGCGAGTAAAAACTTCAGTTGGTCCATTGGGTGACCTGTACTTCAGGTGTACTTGGAGCCCTGATATGTGTCATGAAGTAGTGTATGTATTCACATTTGATATAAACATATTTCATTAGGATCAATGTACAAAATAGGATCGGGCACAAGTTTTCAAATTAACATGAAGCCTTTGCCCTATAGAAATTTTGAAATTTTATATAATCAAGATAAATATTTGGATATATACCAAGAGAGAGAGGGGGGTAGGAGAAAGAGAGAAATATTTTATTTAGGTGAACATTAATAATCATGGATATTTATAGATGATCATTTGATTAAACAATGCCGATAGTATAAGCTTACAGTGGTCACTTTAGAAATCATCATTACTAATGTCCGTCACATTCAGTACCATGGCTTACTTTCTCCGTTCGCTCCATTGCCTTCTGAATTCACATTGAACCCCTCTACACTTATTACCATTTATTGAAAAAAAAAAACAATTTTATCTCGGAGTTTGTCTCCACTCGTCAAGAGTCAAGATTCATGTACAAAACGGGGGGCGGGGGGAGGGGGAGGGGGTAAAAAAAATTTTTTTTTTTCAAAAAAAAAAATATATGAAATTGATTTTTCAACTTTCTATTAACTCTTTTATGGCATTGAGTTATAAATCCTATGATATTTATCTCAGTATCTGACTTTTATCTGAATATCTGTATGAATCTGTCTGTAACCAAATACTCCAAAGTATAATTAACTTTAGTTCAACTTATTTTTTCAATAAAAAGGTAACATATCAGCATTAACAACAATAAACAGTCGGTACATGTACACGAGACTAAATACCTATAGTTTTACTTAGCATCTGATATAAAGCAGTAGAGCATTTACTTACAACTCTGACACGGTCAGTCTTTATCAGCCGAATGACAGTGCACACTCTCCCGCAAAAACGCTTTTTTATTACGATTTTCATTCGTCAATGTGATCATGTGACTAAATTTCATACGCTTACCAGTGTCGCGCATTCACACAGTTGTAAAATAATTACCAAATAAAGTGCGTCAATAATTCTGGTTTAAACCACCAAATTTGCTTTTATGGCTTAAACGAAACTTAAAATTAATAAATGAAATGTATGTTTACATGTATGTCACTTGTTCAAATTACGTATTTTGGTGGTTCAATTCTTCTATTTGAACAGTTTTGTGTATGCATATATAATGTGGTAGGATTAGCATACAGGGTGTCTAAGCTAACGTCACAACGCGCGGTGCACGTGATTTTCAAGTCTCTGAACACGAATCGCGCTTTGTGGCATTCATGATACACGTGTCACAGAAGAAAATATAGAGTTGAATACTGTTGTGTATAAATATACATATTTCAGAAAGTTTGATGTAGATAAAGGTTACTTTAAAACACCAGCGGTTCAGATCACTTAAACTCTTTGAAACTATGACATTTGGCATGGGACTTTCTTTCGATTAAAATTGAAATAGGTAACTTATTACCCAGAGTGATGTATTAATCTGCTACAATCCGTCGATCTCTTTTTAATTTGTTTGTACTGAGTGTACTTATAATATAATGGTTACTTCAAATAGGTGAATCATTAGTGTTGGCTCAAGATTTTATTCCTTCACTCAAGCAACTTCGTGCAACACGTAAACGTGTGTAACTAGAGGTCGTAAAAACAGAAGATGTACAGCATTAATAATGGAATATACAAGATACAATGGTACATTTGTGTAATACTAATTATATAGAACTTTATTCCATCTTCATGTCCCTACGGAAAGTTTTTGATTTGGGGTTCTAAATTTACATAAAGAGGTTCGATCATTTCTATAAAGTTAAATCAGGTGAGGTTCAAAATTGAACTGACAATGATATATTTAACAATATTAAATCAAAATAACAATGATATCGGGAACGCCCTATCATACGTCCCACATGATAGCTAACAGTATCAAAACAACACAATAGTATCATGGACGCCCTACCACACGTCACAGATGATATCTAACAATATCAAAATAACACATAATATCACGGACGCCCTATCATACGTCACAGATGATATCTTAACAATATCAAAATAACACATAATATCGGGGACAGCCTATCATACGTCACAGATGAGATATCACAATATCAAAATAATACCGTATAGCATGGACACCCATATCATATTTGTATCCCCCATCCTAAAGTATTCGGGAATATTTTTTGTCCGTCAGAAATGTATTCCCCCTATACTAGGAGGGGGATACATCCATGACGGTTATCAGAATAGTATCTAGAGAACAATTATTTGAAATATTAGGAAGGAGATACTTTTATGAAAGTCATTAGAATAGTATGTAGGAGGTATTTTATTCCGAAATATTATGGAGAGGGGCATATAATAATTCTATACTGTGTGTTCTTTTACTTTAAAATGTTCTGCATCTTTTTTGGAAGTCAAATTCAGTAGTACCCATACTTTGTGCCACACACGTACCTCCCTTTACACTTTATGTAAAAGGCCAAAGACCATGTAGTTCCCCTCTGATAAATGATAACAATTAAATATATATTGCAACTGGTCAGCGCGAATCCATCATCCTGGAAGCCTTGAATCCTTGACAGTTTACTGATAACAATTACAATGCATACAAGTCTTGGCTCAACATTGTTTCAGGAACCAGTCTTTGGCTCATTAGAATACAAAACAAGAAGAAACAAATCAGTCACTCTTATCATTTCATTTATTATGTCACATGTAGTAGAAAGCATCAGGCTTTATAAAATGTGTACAAAAACAAGAGGCCCATAAGGTCTGTAACGCTCTGGATCTGAAAGCCCACCAATGTCATACATGCCTATAGGTTTGATATTTTTAATATTTCCAAATTAAAGCTCTGTCACTTAAGCTCTTTGATGGGGCAAAACCAATGGGTAAATTATTATATCATTACTGTCTTTATCTCTTGATGTCCGTTATTGCTATATATTGTTAAATATAAACCTCGTTCCCCCTATATATTTTTCTGACAACCATCGTTATATGTATCCCTCATAGATAAATGATAAATCTTCAAATTAAATTTCACAGTTGGCATTCACATTGCTCATGAATGCAGATTAAAGGTAATTCATTGTTCATGTATATAATTTTCAATATTCGGTTTAATTTGTTGTAAGATAATACAACTTCTTTGTTAATTTACATGTCGGTGTGGCGAGGAAATGAAACTCGGGACAAAGTTCATAATTATTTTCGTTGTAATGCACCGACGCGAAATCCAACAGTCAACCAGAGACGTATATAACAATATATATAAATGTCTCCGAGTCAACCTACCCAGTTTCTATTTGACAACAGTAAATACGTACACCTGCTCGCGCCGACGCAACAGAACAATAGTTGTAGAGACCGAAAGCCAGAAGAGGCGTGACGTAAGCAGGTTTGGTAACGCATTAAGCATGCAATGCAAGTGCATTTTTAAAAATACGGCCATTCCTCGGCAGTATGCAATGGTCCGGGAGGTATAAGATTTACTTTAACGAGGCGAGGTGTTCCGAATAGTACTAGTTCTTGTGCACGTTCGTTTAGCGTAGCAGCACGATTTCACCGGCATGTAAGATATGCACAACGACCTCTTACCGTGAAACGGGTCTCTGTTATTACACACATGTAAAAATAAGATTTAAGAGTGCCACTGAATCCAAATAACCTTTGTTATTGTTTCTTTTTTACAGATATTATGCTGACAGTTTATTCCTTGTTTTCAAAAATGAAATTAGGCGCACCACTGCATCCGCTTAAATAAAAGTAAACTAGTCATATGACAGTGACTTCAGGTGAGTCAGTCTGTGTTACCTAAGTTAGCCTGGACCACCGATCACCGCCATGAACGTTGTCTGTAGTCTCCTGGCCGTCTGCCTTTTCGTCGTTTTGTGCGACAGCTGCTGTGTCCCTAAGCAGTGGGAAGCGCTGGAGGGAATTGTCACAGGGATTGACGAACATGGAAGGGATAATTTAGAAGAGGTAAAAAGCACGTTAGTAATTTGATTCGCGACCATGATGTAAATGATAGTTAGGCCTACATGATAGTTTTCATTGTTGTTTTAACTCGTTCGAATCAAAATCAGACCTCTCATTTACTGCCTTTTAGGTTCATTTATGTTCTTATGTATAATTCAGGGAGATCATGGGCATCAAACTCATTATCAGTGATTCTATGTAGGCCAATATATCATGCTGTATATACTTCTAGTACAGCACCTCGATTTGAAGAGCAGATCGCTCCAAATATTCACCCTTTGTGTTGTCTATTTCTAAATGTTTCCTTGTCATTATTTCCCTCTTAAATGACAGCAACAAGAATAACCCTGGCAAATACTTGCTGCATGTACTGTTCATCTAGAGGTATCTTTAGCTCAGCATTTAAAGATATGTAGCTAGAAGGCCAGAGGTCCATGGTTAGAATCATTGTTGAGACATTAAATAAATAATGACCTCTAATACTTGTGATCAAATATTGCTTACATTGTAATGTATACCAAATGCTTACATTTAAATGTATTGGCTGCTATGACAACATTTATAATTTTTAGCTCACCTGACCCGGTGGCATACAGTCACCAGTCAACAAGCATCTATGGTGGAAGGGGGAACATATTGGCATAAATGTTGGATGTCAGCCCCTTGGGCGGGAGAGGCAGGTCCAATAAACATACCTGCCAACTTTCCCAATTTTCACTCCCCATCCCCATCTCACGACCGCATGGATCAAAATGGGGTAATCGTCTGATTACAGAGATCCCGAAGTCATTTTACAGATAATTAAGTAGTTATTACCATGTGTATACTACCAATTCGGTCTAATAACAAATTCAACAAGAAACTGGTTTGTAAAAAGATACTTATGATGTCAAAATGTTCAAGCATTCCTCTATCAATACCAATATCCACATCAGTTCTTAATTAACAACTAAGTTGGCATTAGGAGTAAAAAATCAGATCAAACAAATATTTCACACATATATCATATACTATCACTGTAAAAGACATTAAAGATGAAGTCTACATCTATAGGATGATTTTTTTCTAGATGGCAGTTATGTATTTTACTGATGTGGGGTTTGTTTTACTTTAATTTCATGGTCTTTGGTTTCATTCAAACAGGGCACAGTTTTAGTAGCTTATGATGCTATCAGCCAAAGGTTTGCTGCTGATTACAAGGTTTACTATGGTGAGAAACATTATGGTGGGAAAATCATCTTGGACTTCGCCAGGGTATGTGATCTTTACTATTTGCATCCGACATTGCTGAAATATCATATGATCTAAAATTAATTCCTTTTGTAGTGCACAGTATTTTTGTAATTTTTAATGTTTTGTTCTCTGTATTTAAGAAAGTATTCAAAGAAAACTCAAAAAGATATATAGGAATGTTTAGGCATCTAACGAAACAGTCGACAGGAAAAGAAATTAAAAGAAATGGAATTGTGCATATTTAAAAAAGACTTGCTAAAAAAAAAAACCACTCCCAAAATGTCAAGAAGTAGGCCAAGTTTAACTGTATCCTGTTTAGGTCTCTAATTCATCAAAATGTGTTACTTGATCAAGAAGATTAATAATGAGTTCTATTTGGTATGAAAATATCAAAACAGGTATAACCAACATGTTTCTTGTACAATTCTTATGCCCATCATCTCATTCCATTGACCAAACACCAAAGCTTGTTCTGAGAAAACCTCAACCACTTCTGAATCATCGCAGCTTGTAATTCTCCATTTGTTCAGCATTTTGGATCTGATGTGTTGACTTTTTGTCCTAGATAGTCCCACACACGCTCAATTGGGTTCATGTCTGATGACATTGCAGGTCATGAGATCATCAGTTTCACTTCCTGTTAAAGATAGTCTTGCACTAGGCATGTTCTGTGTGGTTTGGCATTGTCATCCATTAGGATAGGGTAGTCTGCCAATGGATGGGCATTGATACATGGAAAAGCTAAAGGTTGATGAATGTAAATGAGGTAATTCTACTGTTTAAAGTTTCATCTAGGAATTCAAGCAAAAGTTACAGTTTAATGAAAAGCATCTCCAAACAATAACATCACCACCACAAAAAGCTGTTGTGCCCAGAATATGATACAGATGGCATGCATTATTTCTTGGTCTCCATACAAGACCTGTCAGACTTATTAAAATTTGGCTTTCATCGATCAGACCAATGGACTCTTTGCCAAAACCAAATATTTCATGTCTGATGATGCTCACTGCATTCTTGCTTGTTTGTGCATTTTATTGTTATGTGAGAGCGAAGTCACTGAAGAGAAAATTGATGTCCACTGCCCTCTAAACCTATTGATAGTGGTGAATGGAGCTCTCCTGGCCTGTCTACACACAAATCTATCTTCTCAGTCTGTGGTCCCTCAAGGTCTGTCAAACCTAGGTCGCTCATCACCATGCCGAGTTTGGTTCAGTTCTTGCATTAACGGAGAAATAACAGAATGGCTAAAATGCAGCTGCCTACCTGTTAACCATTACAGAAGCATTCCTTCTTTCTGCATTTGTCGTTGTCCATACGAAAGTTTTCAAGACTTTTTTTCAGTAATGCCTTCAGTTATCAAAATGAAATTTGGCATATGGCTTTTTGTTGCAAGGGTACAGTTTAAGTTTGATTCTCGGCTGTCTGTGACCCTTCTTGGCTGAGTTATGCCCCTTTGAACTTGGAAAATTTCTCAGGAATATTGCTTTGTGCAGTTTTCCCTTTATGCTTCAAGTTATAGAAATGAAATTTGGTATAACAACGTTATGGTTGATCTTTGCACATCCAGTTCAATTTCTGGGTGACCATGACACATTATGCAGGCGACACATACAGTTCCGAGGAACTCTTGTTACAAAAGGAAAAATCAATTTTGATTAAAATTGTCACACTGAAATTAGTCCCTTACTTAAAGCCAAGTGTTTTTATTGATTATATATGGAAATGCTCCACCTGGGCAACTATGTAACAGCTCTTTGTAAAACTTTTGAATATACCCTAGTTTGCCTGAATTTGTCATGTATGTGAAGCTCATAAATGTTTTCACTTAGCGGTTGTTTACTTCATTTGAAAGATTATGACAAATTATTATTCACATTTTCATTATCTTTTCAGGAAAGGCAGTACATCATTTCAAAGGGGAAATGTGAAATTGCAATATTGAAGGACCCCTTCAGGGAATCTTGTATTCCAGGTAATTACTGGCAAGAAATCGAGTTTCACGTAAAATTTTGTATCCCAGGTACTGATGTAATATCATGTTTCACATAACATCCTAAGTAGTTACATTTACTGATATTTGGATCATAACATACCGGGATAAAGGACTACAAAGATCACAGGGGTAGACAACAACAAAATATATAAAAATATCATCAGTGCCTTTAGTTGCAATCCATTCAGTCATAGATTTTGAAAAAATGTAAATGACCATCATTTTGAAAAAAAAACCAGGTGTCGAACAAAGATGCCCTTGCCATTTTTAGCAGGTCACAGTCGTGAAATGTGTTTGCATATACAATATAATGTGTCATTTAGAAACAGGTCAGAAATGCTGGCTCAGTAAGCCTCTTGTCTATTGACAAGTAAGCTTTATACATGTACACTGGTATGTTGTTTATGTATAGGTGAAATCAAACCATATGTGTACACTATCGGAGTTGGAGAAAACATTATGGAGTTGAAGAGTTATCAGGTGGACTATGCAGGAATAAAAGCGAGCATCAGTGTAACTGGCAACTGTGTCCCTGTAGGTGAGGTGTTGTCTGGACAGGTCAATGGAAGTAAGTATTATCATCAAAACGTAGAGAGTCGTTTTAATCCTTTAACACACATAGGTTACCACATTATTCATTCATCTCAAATATAGCAAATAGGTTCTTTACTAGAAGAAAGAAGTGGAAAGATTTAAAAGAGAAAATCCAAATTGGATAGAATAAATAAGAATTTGTTGTGTGCTAAGTTCCCTCTGGTATTAGCTTTTATAACTTTGATATCGTCTCCATGTTCTTGCATTCGTGACTTTAAAGTTTGTTTGAGTTTTGTGCCATAATGATTTTTCAGTATGTTTAAAGTGCACCTGTGTGTTTGCATACAGTTGTGTCAGCATTTGTCATACTGTGTACTTGGTTTTGTATGGATTTGTATGCGCCTCTGTGTTTGGGACCATGTGTGCAAGACTGAAACCATTTGTTTCCTTTGGGATAATACCCAAAATATTTTGATGTCATTTCAGTGAACTTCCTTGAAACTATTGGGTATACAAACTTGACAGTTGGAATCAGAGACGAGTCAGTGTTTGAACCCCCAGCCATCTGTATGGGTAGCCTTGCACAAAGAATGGTTTGTATCACTCTGATCTTTAGGGAAAATTGTTTTGAATAATATAATATAAACATATTGTTAGAACTGAAATATTAAGTTTGTTAGTCCATTTATCCAAAAAAATTTCTTGAAATACATGTGAATTGCTGAAACATTACTCTAGTTAAGTTTGGATTAGCAGAAACTGACATGTAGGTAAAGTGAACAGTTTGAATCTATACCCACTATGTACCATACTTGATGTCATCAGTGTTATAATTATGTCATTTTATTCTGATAGATTCTTGGAAAACTGAGGGACCCAATTGTTTCCCTGAGGAAACATGCCATTCTTGGAGCATAGATAGAAGAGCTGCGGTTATCTATGAAAATCCACCATCCAATCATCACTAGCATTTACTTTTCTTTTTTAAACCTAAACTGTCACTTTTAAAACATGACACCGTTTTGACAATTGTTGGAAATCTTTATCCGTTGGTTTGGTATTTGAATCAAACAGATAGACAATCAAGATTGCCATTAATGCCTTTATAGATCTGCTGTCACCAGACCATAGTTATATAGATGGGTTTTGAGGCACAAAGCTTGAAATAAAATTAACATGAAATTAAAATGTCTGTTGTGAAATATTTTGATTAAACACTGGAAATCATTGATGGCATTCGAAGCCAGTATGTAAAATCAGATAGATACTGTAGAAAGTTGCCATAGAATTACATCTAATGATCTTGTGGAAAAACAAGGTGTCCTGAATTGCTGGTTCAAAAATCTCAAAATCTAAATTATGTGATAAAAAGTGAAATTATAAAAGAACATTTAAACATGTTATGTCTGGTATTGAAATAATCACAAAACTAGGTTCACTTTGAATTACTCTTGATCTGAAACCATACTGCTGTATATTTTGCTTGTTTCTTGCATTGTTTTATTTTTTTGTGCGTGTTGAATATAGTGTATTTAGCCAGATCCAATACAAGTTTATTTAACCAGAAAACATTTTGTTAAAAGTTTACAATGTATTTCTACTTCATATTAAGATTTTTATTGTCTTTTAAGATTTTTTTTTCATTCCAGTTGGTGTGTTTTTATTGAACAAATCTGTTGTTATTTAGGAGGATTGAGTTAAAGCCAACCCTTTATTTTTTGGTCGCCTTTGACAAAGTCTCATGGTGATCTATTGCTATAACGTTTTGTTCCTCGTGGTGCATCTGTGATTTTTTTTTACATTTTCAAAGTCCTCTCTAAAAACCCTGAACCAATAAAATTCTTCAGAAACTTTGAACTTTCCCTGAACATAAAATAATGAATTATGTAGTCCCTACCCACCAGGGGCATAAAGGACAAGGCCAATAGGGGTAAATTTACTCAAACTTTAAAAAAAACTTTCATATATTATAGAATCAACTGCTCATCATCAATGAGAGGGTTTTTAGGTACTTTTCAAAAAACGGTGAATTTCATAACTTGCACTTCACCAAGATAGTGAATTTCATGCCTCCAGATTCTTTCATTTCTATCTGGGGAGGGGGTAAAATTTACCGTAGTTTATATGAAAACTGCATATGCCACCATCGAGTTGGTAGGTATTTTCTTTTTGTGACACTTGAAACCTACTTAAACTTATAGCTTGTCTCTTCAACATTTCTTAGCTCAGATGAGCATGAGGCTGCAAGGCCTCTTGGTGTTATCTTGATTCTGGCCAGGATGAAATACACAAAAAATGACCCTTATTGTGTTATATATTCATGTAATGAATCAGTTATTCTGAAGTCAGATTGAACATGTAGTTTAAATGTTGTGTACTATTGCATTTTACATAAGTCTTGTATCAAATGACTTTTTACATAAAATTTGAATACATGAATGATGTGTTTGTTGTTGTGTAGTTGTACTGATCTTCTGTGATATGCCTGGCCTAGCTATTGCTGAGAGGACCTGTATACTTGTACTGGTATAGATGAACTTTACACTACCCTTTGTCAAACGATTTAAGCAGTGGGATCTTGGTTAAGCTCAGATTGAGACCCCAAGTTCGAAGTGAAGTAATGACAAGTTTTTGGGAGTTGACAAGTGTAAAGACAAATGATAGTTCTGGCAAATAGCAGAGGACATGAAGTAACAAAGTAACAGGGCATGTATTGATAATATCATTTTTTTCAGGAATGCTTCAATAGTAGATTAACAAAAACAAGGTTTTGAGCAATGCTTCAGTAGTAGATGAACACAAACAATGTTTTCAGCAGTGCTTTAGTATTAGGATTATATTCAGTTCCATAACACTAATGTTAGGTCTTCAGGATGAGATTGAATGCTGGCACTTTTTCAATGTGAAATGTCTTTGTTCGTTAGCTTTTTAGGTCACCTGTATACCCTTCATCCGGCATTGTGCATCCATAAACAATTTTAACACTTTTGACTTCTTCTCAAAAACCCCTTATCCAATTTCAATGAAATTTTGCATAAACATTCCCTGGCCTGAGATGAACCAAAATTGTGAATTATACAGTCCCCAACCCCTTCAGAGGCGTGGTCAAAAGGTGTCAAATTGACTTAAAATCATCTTCTCAATAACAAGATATGATAGAATCAAATACTTGTAATGAATGGAAGCATTTTAAGGTGCTTTACCAAAATTGTGAATTTCATGGCCCCAGGGTCTCACATTTCCCCGTGGGGAGTGGGGTAAGGTTTACTATAGTTTATATAGGAAAACTAGATTTTTCAGCATAATTTGTTTAATTTTCATTGAAAATATATAAAACTTGGTTAAATTATAAGTGAAGGATGACGGCTTGATGGTATGCCCATTTTGATCCTGACTGACCCCCAGGGACTGATGGGCGGGGCCAAAAGGGGTCAAATTGACTTCACTTTCAAAAATCTTCTCAAGACCCACATATGGTAGAATCAAATACTCTTTGTGAATGGAAGCACCTTAAGATGCTTTACTTACCAGAATGAGCCTCACATTTCTTCTTGGGGAGGATTTTTTTTTAATCTATAAGAACTATCAATATAGGATGACAGTTTTGATGATATGCATGTATTGACACTGTCTATATTCAGTGTCACAATATTCAAGATTGCCTATCTCAGGTGACCGTGATGGCAGCTAGACCTCTTGTATATTCAAAACACTGTATGGAAGAGACCTGCCATACCGAAATAAAGGTGCATGCATATCTACCTTTTTATGACGATGTTAATTGTTATACACTGGTATGCATACAGATACGTAAAGGCAATAAAATGGTTGATCTATATATATACACTGTATTGCTATCATCAGTGACATCGGTTACTTAGACAAACATAGTTGCATCTGCAGTGTACTTATGCAAATAAAATTACATCCTTGTTAAAAGATAAAACATTAGATGAAATCTTCTGTGTAATGTAGACGCCATTTTGTTCAGGTTCTATCGGGATTATGATTTTAAATCATGTCCCGGTCAACTTATCCGGATTTATGTATAAACTAATAACAAAAACAACTAAATTCCGGAATGGGGTTATTTATTATTGTAAAATATGATGTCGTTAGATATCTCATTGATCAGTATATCATATACATTTCTCAGCAAGCATATTTTTTCTGTTTACCCTTTAAGCCAAGCCCATATCTGACACTGACATGTTGAAGGTATGTTACTACGGGTGACCGTTCACTAATGTATATTGCATCAAGTATATTGATTTATCAGCCATGAAAACGAAAAACTAGCATGTATTTTCAAGGTGTAGAGAAATTGTCATACAAGTCGAACTCTAAGTAAACCAACAATTCTGTTTGTTATCCTTCGTAAAAAATATCCCGGAACAAGAGGTATGTGCCTACATTGCCCCAGAGACGTATATATCACACATACGTCTCTGATTGCCCCTAGTTTAAAAGTTTGTACAAAATCAGTGAAGTAAATTGAAAGCTTACATCCATCCCCATGCCAGGGACGTATATATCATTATATTGTTGTTAACGAGATATACTATTATATATATTAATATATACGTCCCTGCCCATACTAATGAGGGCTTAATCCACCAACACAACGAAGTGCAAGTTACCTGAGATGTCCCAAGTAATAGAGAGGTAGCGAACAGTGTTCGTATACTAGAGAAGTGAATAAGTACAATCAGGGACGTATAATACAGTACTGTATTATACGTCCCTGGTACAATGTTCAATTACTTTGGAGGAACATTTTAAAATGCCTAAATTAAAAGGGGTCGAGAATATTTTTGATAAAAATTATACCATTTAGTTTAAGCATGCGTACTTGCCCTCAATATCAGAGGAGGATGTAACGTTCGTTATTAATTAGTTTCCGAAAGATGTTTACAATACCTAACTGGTTACGTCTAATTTACGTGAACGAGAAACATTTCCCCTTTTCATGAAAAAACAACAATTTTTGCTTTAAAATAAATACAAATGGGGTATACATTTGTACATTACATTCCGACACAATGCAGTATGAGATTGGATTCCTGTATAAACTGTGCTTGCAGTTGTAACGATGACTAATGTGTGTGCCACAAAATATCACAGTTAAATTTTTCTCCGATTAGATTATCGTCTCCTGATCAAGGTCTTAACACCATCTTGATATTCTCGAAATTTAATTCTAGTCGTGTGTATCTACTGCCTGGGTTGAACGTTCTAATTTCTGACCTCATTATTACACATGTGAACCAGTGTTATATTTATACAACACGGCACGAGTTGCTGTCAAATGTACTGAAAACACCTCATCGGCGATACACATGTACAAGTAATGTATTTCGATATTGCAATTGTAGGACAGGGTTAAAGGTCACTGCGCTTAGTTCAGCAAGGTATCAGGTAAAATGTACATTATTTTAGATTTTGAAGAGTTCGTTTGCATCATTTAATTATCACTGGTGAAAAATCAGATCATAAAAGTGGTTTTATCGCTATGATAACAATGTCGGTTTAAGCGATAACACGTTTTCTCAAATATAACACGCAGTCTGAAGTCCCCTGCAATACTAATACATAAATGCCTGGACAGCTACACACTGTTTAACAGCTGACTGAGGACATCCTACGTGTGTGTTATGGAACGGGTAGCCGTAATAGGGACCGGGGCTAGTGGCCTCTCCTCCATCAAATGTTGTATTGATGAAGGACTCCAACCTGTCTGCTTCGAAAGGTCTGACGCCATAGGTAAGTACTGTAGACGTCCGCAGGAGAAGCTAAAACATGTGACTCTGGTGTAGGTGTTTTAATACAATGCATAGTGTTATAGTTGGGATGTGTAAGGTGGCGTGTTTTGGTTTATGAACTGCTGTATAGTGAATGCAAGCGTGATGTACCGAGTGTGGTAGGTGTGATGTACTGAGTGTGGTAGATGTGATGTAGTGGAGTGTGGTAGGTGTGATGTACCGAGTGTGGTAGGTGTGATGTACAGGAATGTGGTAGGTGTGATGTACTGGAGTGTGGTAGGTGTGATGTACTGGAGTGTGGTAGGTGTGATGTTCTGAGTGTGGTAGGTGTGATGTACTGAGTGTGGTAGGTGTGATGTATTAAGTGTGGTAGGTGTGATGTAGTGGAATGTGGTAGATGTGATGTACTGGAGTGTGGTAGGTGTGATGTACTGAGTGTGGTAGGTGTGATGTACTGAGTGTGGTAGGTGTGATGTACTGGAGTGTGGTAGATGTGATGTACTGAGTGTGGTAGGTGTGATTTAGTGGAATGTGGTAGATGTGATGTACTGGAGTGTGGTAGGCGTGATGTACTGAGTGTGGTAGGCGTGATGTACTGAGTGTGGTAGGTGTGATGTACTGAGTGTGGTAGGTGTGATGTACTGGAGTGTGGTAGGTGTGATGTACTGGAGTGTGGTAGGTGTGATGTACTGGAGTGTGGTAGGTGTGATGTACTGAGTGTGGTAGGTGTGATGTACTGGAGTGTGGTAGGTGTGATGTACCGAGTGTGGTAGGTGTGATGTACTGAGTGTGGTAGGTGTGATGTACTGGAGTGTGGTAGGTGTGATGTACTGGAGTGTGGTAGGTGTGATGTACTGAGTGTGGTAGGTGTGATTTAGTGGAATGTGGTAGATGTGATGTACTGGAGTGTGGTAGGCGTGATGTACTGAGTGTGGTAGGCGTGATGTACTGAGTGTGGTAGGTGTGATGTACTGAGTGTGGTAGGTGTGATGTACCGAGTGTGGTAGGTGTGATGTACAGGAATGTGGTAGGTGTGATGTACTGGAGTGTGGTAGGTGTGATGTACTGAGTGTGGTAGGTGTGATGTACTGAGTGTGGTAGGTGTGATGTACAGGAATGTGGTAGGTGTGATGTACTGAGTGTGGTAGGTGTGTGTACTGGAGTGTGGTAGGTGTGATGTACTGGAGTGTGGTAGGTGTGATGTACTGGAGTGTGGTAGGTGTGATGTACCGAGTGTGGTAGGTGTGATGTACTGGAGTGTGGTAGGTGTGATGTACTGGAGTGTGGTAGGTGTGATGTACTGGAGTGTGGTAGGTGTGATGTACTGGAGTGTGGTAGGTGTGATGTACTGAGTGTGGTAGGTGTGATGTACTGGAGTGTGGTAGGTGTGATGTACTGGAGTGTGGTAGGTGTGATGTACTGAGTGTGGTAGGTGTGATGTACTGAGTGTGGTAGGTGTGATGTACTGAGTGTGGTAGGTGTGATGTACTGGAGTGTGGTAGGTGTGATGTTCTGAGTGTGGTAGGTGTGATGTACCGAGTGTGGTAGGTGTGATGTACTGAGTGTGGTAGGTGTGATGTACTGGAGTGTGGTAGGTGTGATGTACAGGAATGTGGTAGGTGTGATGTACTGAGTGTGGTAGATGTGGTGTACTGGAGTGTGGTAGGTGTGATGTACTGAGTGTGGTAGGTGTGATGTACTGGAGTGTGGTAGGTGTGATGTACCGAGTGTGGTAGGTGTGATGTACTGAGTGTGGTAGGTGTGATGTACTGGAGTGTGGTAGGTGTGATGTACTGGAGTGTGGTAGGTGTGATGTACTGAGTGTGGTAGGTGTGATGTACTGGAGTGTGGTAGGTGTGATGTACTGAGTGTGGTAGGTGTGATGTACTGGAGTGTGGTAGGTGTGATGTACTGGAGTGTGGTAGGTGTGATGTACTGGAGTGTGGTAGGTGTGATGTACTGGAGTGTGGTAGGTGTGATGTACTGAGTGTGGTAGGTGTGATGTACCGAGTGTGGTAGGTGTGATGTACTGGAGTGTGGTAGGTGTGATGTACTGGAGTGTGGTAGGTGTGATGTACTGAGTGTGGTAGGTGTGATGTACTGGAGTGTGGTAGGTGTGATGTACTGGAGTGTGGTAGGTGTGATGTACTGGAGTGTGGTAGGTGTGATGTACTGGAGTGTGGTAGGTGTGATGTACTGGAGTGTGGTAGGTGTGATGTACTGGAGTGTGGTAGGTGTGATGTACTGGAGTGTGGTAGGTGTGATGTACTGGAGTGTGGTAGGTGTGATGTACTGAGTGTGGTAGGTGTGATGTACTGGAGTGTGGTAGGTGTGATGTACTGGAGTGTGGTAGGTGTGATGTACTGGAGTGTGGTAGGTGTGATGTACTGAGTGTGGTAGGTGTGATGTACTGGAGTGTGGTAGGTGTGATGTACTGAGTGTGGTTGGTGTGATGTACTGGAGTGTGGTAGGTGTGATGTACTGGAGTGTGGTAGGTGTGATGTACTGGAGTGTGGTAGGTGTGATGTACTGAGTGTGGTAGGTGTGATGTACCGGAGTGTGGTAGGTGTGATGTACTGGAGTGTGGTAGGTGTGATGTACTGAGTGTGGTAGGTGTGATGTACTGAGTGTGGTAGGTGTGATGTACTGAGTGTGGTAGGTGTGATGTACTGAGTGTGGTAGGTGTGATGTACTGAGTGTGGTAGGTGTGATGTACTGAGTGTGGTAGGTGTGATGTACTGGAGTGTGGTAGGTGTGATGTACTGAGTGTGGTAGGTGTGATGTACTGAGTGTGGTAGGTGTGATGTACTGGAGTGTGGTAGGTGTGATGTACTGGAGTGTGGTAGGTGTGATGTACTGGAGTGTGGTAGGTGTGATGTACTGGAGTGTGGTAGGTGTGATGTACTGAGTGTGGTAGGTGTGATGTACTGAGTGTGGTAGGTGTGATGTACTGAGTGTGGTAGGTGTGATGTACTGGAGTGTGGTAGGTGTGATGTACTGAGTGTGGTAGGTGTGATGTACCGAGTGTGGTAGGTGTGATGTACTGAGTGTGGTAGGTGTGATGTACCGAGTGTGGTAGGTGTGATGTACTGAGTGTGGTAGGTGTGATGTACTGGAGTGTGGTAGGTGTGATGTACTGAGTGTGGTAGGTGTGATGTACTGGAGTGTGGTAGGTGTGATGTAGTGGCTTGTTTGTAGTGAGAAGAAAGTTTTGTACTGCATGTTTCCTATTAAAGCAAAAAAATGAAGCCGACATTGTCAGAATCCATATTACATGTACTATAGGTGGACTGTGGAATTACAAGCCAGATGTCCGAGTGGGTCAGGGCAGTGTCATGAAATCCACAATCACCAACACCAGCAAGGAGATGACGGCTTATAGTGATTTCCCTCCTCCTAAAGACACCCCGATGTATCCTCACAACCGACAGATGCTGAAGTACTTCCAAATGTACGCTGACAAATTTGGTTTGCTTCCATACATTAACTTCAACAAAGAGGTAATTATGTTTGACACAAAGATTAGCCTTTCAAGGTATATGTATGCACGATATATGGAAGCTGTTATTTACCATAAACTTTTTAGGTACATGGTTATATGTAACACAGGTAAACAGCATCATTGCATACACTAAATATCAGGCCATATAAGCTGTTTTATTACATAATGTGTCGTTTAGGTTAATGTTTTATTACAGTGTCCTCTGACCTTGCAAATTGAATTTGTTCATTTTGCGATGATATGTTAGTAAGACTGACATCATGAAACAATTTCTACTAGCGTTATCATCCTAAACACTCGCAATGCACATCGCAATTTCTTCAGAGGTACTGCATGAATCTTTCTCATATTTCATATGTAAGTTTCTCTTGGTCCTGAAGTGCGCCTGTTTTACTCTGGGTCTGATCAGAAAAACAAAATGGCTAACAGGTGGCCATCTTGGAATATTTCAATGAAGTTTATTATCACTACTTCAAAGATCTTTCTCAAATTTCAAATGTAGATTTCCCTTGGTCCCTAGCTGTTCCATATGATAAAGATGAAGATAAGAGAAGTGTTACATATGATACAGGTTAAGATCCTACAGATGTTACATATGATACAGGTTAAGATTCTACAGGTGTTACATATGATACAGGTTAAGATTCTACAGATGTTACATATGATACAGGTTAAGATTCTACAGGTGTTACATATGATACAGGTTAAGATTCTACAGGTGTTACATATGATACAGGTTAAGATTCTACAGGTGTTACATATGATACAGGTTAAGATTCTACAGGTGTTACATATGATACAGGTTAAGATTCACAGGTGTTACATATGATACAGGTTAAGATTCTACAGGTGTTACATATGATACAGGTTAAGATTCACAGGTGTTACATATGATACAGGTTAAAATTCTACAGGTGTTACATATGATACAGGTTAAGATTCTACAGGTGTTACATATAATACAGGTTAAGATTCACAGGTGTTACATATGATACAGGTTAAGATTCTACAGGTGTTACATATAATACAGGTTAAGATCCTACAGATGTTACATATGATACAGGTGTCACGATCCTACAGGTGTTACATATAATACAGGTTAAGATTCTACAGGTGTTACATATGAGACAGGTTAAGATCCTACAGATGTTACATATGATACAGGTGTCACGATCCTACAGGTGTTACATATAATACAGGTTAAGATTCTACAGGTGTTACATATGATACAGGTTAAGATCCTACAGATGTTACATATGATACAGGTTAAGATCATACAGGTGTTACATATGATACAGGTTAAGATTCTACAGGTGTTACATATGATACAGGTTAAGATCCTACAGATGTTACATATGATACAGGTGTCTCGATCCTACAGGTGTTACATATAATACAGGTTAAGATCCTACAGATGTTACATATGATACAGGTGTCACGATCCTACAGGTGTTACATATAATACAGGTTAAGATTCTACAGGTGTTACATATGAGACAGGTTAAGATCCTACAGATGTTACATATGATACAGGTGTCACGATCCTACAGATGTTACATATGATACAGGTGTCACGATCCTACAGGTGTTACATATAATACAGGTTAAGATTCTACAGGTGTTACATATGAGACAGGTTAAGATCCTACAGATGTTACATATGATACAGGTGTCACGATCCTACAGGTGTTACATATAATACAGGTTAAGATTCACAGGTGTTACATATGATACAGGTTAAGAGTATACAGGTGTTACATATAATACAGGTTAAGATCCTACAGATGTTACATATGATACAGGTGTCACGATCCTACAGGTGTTACATATAATACAGGTTAAGATTCTACAGGTGTTACATATGAGACAGGTTAAGATCCTACAGATGTTACATATGATACAGGTGTCACGATCCTACAGGTGTTACATATAATACAGGTTAAGATTCTACAGGTGTTACATATGATACAGGTTAAGATCCTACAGATGTTACATATGATACAGGTGTCACAATCCTACAGGTGTTACATATAATACAGGTTAGGATCCTACAGATGTTACATATGATACAGGTGTCACGATCCTACAGGTGTTACATATAATACAGGTTAAGATTCTACAGATGTTACATATGATACAGGTTAAGATTCTACAGGTATTACATATGATACAGGTTAAGATCCTACAGATGTTACATATGATACAGGTTAAGATTCTACAGGTATTACATATGATACAGGTTAAGATCCTACAGATGTTACATATGATACAGGTTAAGATCATACAGGTGTTACATATGATACAGGTTAAGATTCTACAGGTGTTACATATGATACAGGTTAAGATTCTACAGGTATTACATATGATACAGGTTAAGATTCTACAGGTATTACATATGATACAGGTTAAGAGTATACAGCTGTTATTCAATTTTACAATGTACAATAGAGGAAGTATAGTATATATATTGTCCTTAAATATATATATAAGGTTTGCTGTGTCCCTGGTATGATCAATTTATTGTAGTCATCCTTTGTAACTTTTCCCACAGTTTGCCTTAATACCTTAATAGGTAACAGCTGTTGATATAACTAATGGAGCTCAGATACTGGTTTCATGTGCTAAGATATCTCTACCATTATCAAAAGGTTGTATCAGTGAAATCAGTGGACACCAAGTGGTCAGTGCAGACCAAGGATTGTAAAACAGGAAAACTGACAACTGAGACGTTTGATTACGTGATGGTTTGCTGTGGTCATTACGCAAACAAATTTGTACCCAACTTACCTGGTGAGGACGAATTCCAAGGGGAGATCATGCATTCGCATGAGTACAGAAATTTCCATGGATTCGAGAACAAGAAGGTTGTCGTTGTTGGTATTGGTAACTCTGGTGGGGATGCAGCTGTGGAACTGAGTCACGTGGCTTCCCAGGTAATTTGTGTTTGAGGAAAAGTAAAAAACTGAATGGTGGCATGCGTGCTTTGTTTATTATATCCGAAATAATCGACTGGAAATAAAAATTTCAAGTCTGAAATATCAATTTCATTTTACAATTGCAATAGCATCTTGTTATTATACAAATATTTATTTGTTATAAACAGTATCTTATAACCTATTATCACTTCATTAATATATCCATGATTGAAATATATTGGCCTGGATGGATTTTTCGGAAATATGAATAGGTGTAGTAAGTAGCCTTCTGGAAGCATGCTTGTTCAAACCTCTCTCATTTTCACAAACACATATTTTTTTATTTATTATTTTCACAACACAATATTCCAAATCTGCATATATTTCTAAAATGTATGTAAGACAGCATAAAGATATTTGTTTATGTTTGATAAGTATATTTTGCTCTCATAGTGAACCAACTTTTCCTTATTAAACAGGTCTATCTGAGTACGCGTAATGGACGCTACATATTCAGTCGGATATCGGAAGCTGGAATGCCAATGGACATGGTCCATTTGACGAGGTTTATGCGGGGAGTTGTTGGATATCTTCCAAGATCTCTAGTTGAAGCAATATATTTGAAAAAAATAAACCAAGCCGTGAATCACAAGGCTTACTGCCTGGAGCCGGAGAGTGGAGGACCATTTGCAAATGGCATCCTTATCAACGATGAACTGCCTTGTCGCATAGCATGTGGAAGCATCGTCATCAAATCAGGTGTAAAACGTCTCCACCAAACCAGCGTGGAGTTTGAGGACGGAACAGTTGAAAGCAATGTCGACACTATACTTTTTGCCACAGGATATACATTTGACTTTCCGTTTCTACACACGCCCATCCCTGGACTAAGTAAAGACCGCAATAAACTTTATAAGTTCATGTTCCCGCTGGTATCTTCTCGGCCAACAATCTGTGTGATTGGCTTGATACAAGCAGCAGGGCCACAGCCACCAATAGCAGAGATGCAGGCTAGACTTGCATTGGCCGTGTTCAAAGTAAGTCTCGGTTTGTCTAGGGCCTTCCAACACTTACAAATGAGAAATGTACTCTGCTTTAGTCACACTACTATGACACAGTCTTATATTTGTCACTTGCAAGAATTGTATAAATGACAAGCAAATTGAATAACACCTTTCAATACAAATTGCGATTTGATACAGCACACCGAAAATAATCTAAACTGTATTGTACTTCTGTATTGTTCTTCTCATTTTCGTCAGCGACGGTCTGTTGGCAGTTGAAAGCAGATTTTTGTTATTTTATTTACTGAAACATGAACATAACGAAATCTAAAAACATGATCGATACAAATATATATATATATATATAAACTTATTTTGTAAAAACGAATATCATTTATTGAAACTGAAAAAAATTATTTATAATTCAGGGAAAGGTGACGTTGCCCGATGTAAAGTTACAACAGGCTGAGGTGGAGAGAATTCGGAGTAGAAATAAAAAGGTGTTTAATGATTCTAAGGGACATTTCTTCAGTGTAGACTACATGATTTACATGGACGAGTTGGCCACATTGTTCGGTTGTAAACCATCATTAGGTATGTATTCCATTTACTCTCCTTGTGCATCATGTATGCATCAGTTGGTATGTCAACAAAGGCATTTGAACATATTTCTATTTCTGAATCGGGTCATTAAAGGTACTGAAATATTATTTATATTTCTGAATCGGGTCATTAAAGGTACTGAAATATTATTTCTATTTCTGAATCGGGTCATTGAAGGCACTGAAATATTATTTCTATTTCTGAATCGGGTCATTAAAGGTACTGAAATATTATTTCTATTTCTGAATCGGGTCATTAAAGGCACTGAAATATTATTTCTATTTCTGAATCGGGTTATTAAAGGCACTGAAATATCATCATTTCTGAATCGGCTCATTAAAATTCAGAGGAGATTTTGTTAACAACAATATAATGTTATACACTGTATGTAAGCCTTAAACACAGTCCTGTACTATTTTATCATTTGTTAAGTTGATGCTGATCGCAGCAGGAGATAAACAGCATGAAAATATTATATCAACATAATCATTATCCAAACTCTAATTCAGTAAAACTGGGGAAAATATGAACAAGGGGAAAAAGTACAAGGAGTAAAAGTCCAGGTGTTCCAGAAGAGTAAGTGCCTTCTGCTTCATGGACAACACTGCCATGTTAGTCTGATATGATTTTTATTGTTCTGTATGTAGTCCAGTAACAGTACTACACTCTTGATATCAAACCAGTTCTGTATTATCTGTTACAGCGAAATTGTTCCTAACAGATCCGCAGTTGGCTTGGACGTGTTTATTTGGACCCTGTACTCCCTACCAATACCGACTAATGGGGCGAGGAAGATGGTCAGGAGCCAGGGACGCCATAATGAACCAGTGGGACAGAACTCTTGCCCCTTTGAAAACCAGGCCGTTGACGACCAAAACACGACACGACTCAAATGTTACTTTTTTTGTGAAACTTACAGTAATCTTTATAGGACTGTGTTACTTTTATAGAACTTTTCTCAGAAAAGATAAATGAAATACAGTTTAGCTCTTATAACATCATTCATAATGTTTCAAGAGGTTATCCAAATGTTATTTGATTCCTGTTCAAGATAACAATGTGTATGCATGTGTTGATTATAGTATGACACGGCCATGTGTGGTCAGAGATCTTTTTATCATATAATCAGCTTGTTATCCACTTCATTCATCCTTGTAATATTTTTGGGTATATGTCAATGGTGTAGTACATATACTGGAGCTTTTTCCAATGGCTGCTCTCGTCAGAAATTGATTGTGATCTCATAATATGAATATTGATAATATGTCATGAATTGAAAATGGAACAAGGATTGCAAAAATTCTAAATTTCTAAAGCTGTGTAATAAAATCTCATATGGAATAAAAACTTAGTTAAGATATAAAGTATGATAGTATGGCATCGCAGACAAAATAAACACTGGTGTGATTGGAAGTGATCAGAAAGACAGAACTATAGAAATATACTATGTATTGGAAAACAAAGAGCCAATGGCAGTATCTCAATACAAAGGCTGATTAATGAATATGAGCCTCATATTTGAGGGTTTGACTTTTGGCAGACATATTGCATTAGTTTTCAACATAATCCCCTTCAGTATCTATACACTTTTGCCAGTGGTGTTTAAGGGCCTCAATGCCATTTTTAAAGAAGTCCGTTTTTTGACCGTTCAGAAAGTCCTCCTTTGCATGTATGATGTCATCATCTGACCGAGAGTGGGAACCGGAAATGGCCTTTTTTCGATTTTGGAAATAGATGGAAGTTTTGATAGAGCGAGATCAGGCGAATAAGGTGGATGCTCAATCAATTCAAAGCCACAATTGTTAATGGCAGCCATGGCAACGACAGACTTGTAAACAGAGGCATTGTCCTGGTGGAACAACACACCTCGTCTCTTGAGTAAAATATTTTTATTTAATTGCCTAGGAGTTGATACATGATATGGGCCATTGATTGCTTGTCCCTTTTGCAAATAATCTACCATAACAATACCATCAGCATCCCAGGAAACTGAGGCCAAAGTCTGTGCCTTCCTTGGCAGGGGTGATCAAGGTGCTATTATTGTTTAGTCTGTTGTTTGGCATGTGGGGTGAAATAATGGGCCCACGTTTCATCCTTAGTCACAAACCTCTGCAGAAATCTGTCTCTAAACGTTTCAGATTAGCATGTGACAAAGTCTGCCTAGTGTGCTTCTGATCAACTGTCAGATATACCTTCATTTGGTTTTATGGAACATTTGACTTTAGTTAATAAGTTGGAAAGGAAGTGGAGGATAGAACTGAGACAAGCAGCAGAAAATGGTAACACAAATACACCTATTTAACAGAAGGACATGATTTCCTTAATTAAAACTAAAAAATACTTAAAAGTGTGTAAAATGTCCCTTGAAGAAACAAAAATAAATTCCTATGGAAGCATGAAATGGGATGATATCAACAATAATTCTTTTAAATGTACCAGAAAAAACAAACTTCAAGCATTTCAATATAAAATCTGTCATAGAATTCTTTCCCCAAACTCTATTTTATTAAAAGGCTAAGACAACATCTAGTCAGATTTGTACCTTTTGTGAAAGAGAACCAGAAACATTGGAACAAAACAGTGAAGCACACTGAGTGTTATTTCATAGTCCAACTTATTGAAGAATTTACAGCTTGGTTTGCACTTAACAAAAATCAATTTAATTTTATATCCTTTCAAGATGTAGACATTTTGTTTGGAAATCCAAAGTTTGGGGGAAGTGAACTTGAAAGTTGAGTGGACTCAACAACCTGATCCGATAATAATCTGTCTTTGTGATTTGAAAATGCCTATTTCTGAAGCAACCCTTGAAAGACACATTAGACGCTGAAAAATCCTGTTTCAGTTCACATTTTTAAAGTGTCATGGCTTTGTTGGGTAACAAAGAAGAGCGACGGACAATAGATACACTGGTCCAGGAATTTCTGGAAACACATACCTTACAGAAGGAGTAGGTTTGAGCCATGTTAGACTAGATCAACCCCTTCAGTTTTCACAACACCTGCAGTGCTCTTACAGAGTAGATTTTTTAGATATGAGAAACCTGCTCTCATGAAACAGACATGACCTCTTTTGGTTCCTAGATTTCACTTTACCGAAGTTTTGCTGTATACACTGTTTTCTTATCTTATAAATTTGGTAGATAACGGTATCAAACAGCAGCATACTGCATAAAGAGGCAAATTCATAATGTTGCTGTCTTTACGTCACGATTGTAATATCATAACCATACGATGTCAAATAGTATGCAGTGCCATGCTTTTTCTTCACACACTAATGTGTTTTATATTGGAATCAACTTCTTCCAACTTCACTTGAAAAATAACATAAACAGAAAATTCAATGATTTCTCGTTTAATATTGTTTTAATCTTGAGTAAAATATTAATACTCCATCATGCTTATGAGATATATACATGTATATACAAAATTCACAAACCACCTGGAGAAATATTGGTTGTTTATAAAGAAACCAGGAAAATCTTCTGTTTATCTATCTATTCACAATAGCATTATTCCATCTGAGTCTCATTTCATTAATGGTACTGGCATACCAAATTTCAGAACACAACAATTATTGGCATGAAAATCACAAAAAAACAATATCACAGATGAACAATTCAATCAGAGTGGTATCACAGCAGGTAATGCTTATTTGATATCACATTTGTAGTCACTGATGCTGTCCCTGAAAATTATATCCAAACACTGTCAGCATATAAATGTGCATTGTAGTATACGATACGGACATATCATTTACTTTTAGTGAGACAATATAATGAAATAAGGAGTACAGCATGGCCGAACAATATACACCTGTCCCGTGCCAAAGCAATACTCAAAATAATTTTATCTAAACGAAAACAAATGTGGACATCGGAATACTGCAACAAAATGTCAATAGGTCGAATAGTTCTTCTTGTTTTGATGATAAATTAAAGCATAACAAGTTTTATAAAAGACGGACTGGAAATAGCTTGATTGCTAAAATGACTGAAGGGCAATACCTCTTTGAAATACTGACATTATTGTTGAATATAAATGACCTCAATAAAAACGCAACCTCAAATCAGATTTAAAAAAAAATTGGTTGGATCTGATGAGATATCAGGATAAAATAAAAACATTAATAAAACCCAAAAACCACAATTCTATGTTCTGATTATAAATCAAAAATAATTAGTTTAAAGCTAAGGGAGAAGATACCCCATCTGTCCCCATACAGGACATTGTTGAATCCAGCTGCCATCAGGGAAAATACAATTTTATGCCATGGTTCTAATGCTTACAAAGTTTGAATGAAACGATGGACCACTCATTGATGTGATGCCTGGACGAGACTTAGTTCAGGAAAACATTAAAAGGCAATACAGTCTTATCAAACTGACTTTTGAGAAAACACAACTTCTATCCTAGTGATTTAGCCTACCAAGTTTGATAGATTGGTTGAAAACTGTGGCAGCGAGACGGAGTGGAGGACAACGCTAGAAAATGTCATACTAACTGATGGTTGTATAAAATAATGAACACAAACATATTTACAATCAATATTTATGGCAGTTACATCATACGCTCTGCTGCAGCTGCTGACGAAATAAAATCTATGAGTGGAATGTAAAATATTTCATCCCAAAGGTTGGGTTTCAAAACAGCATAAGAAGTAAATAAAACAGTTTATTATTGATTCAGTCTCTCTTTGTTATTTATTGAAAAAGTTTTACAATTTTTTGGGTATGGAAGTAGGATGATAACATGGGTTAAAATATTACATAATGCTAATGCTGCTATTAATCAGGGTGGGAATTTATCTCCATTTTTTTCAATAAGAAGCGGTTGCCGTCAAAGTGACCCTATTGCACTTTATATATTTATTCTGTGTGCTGAAATTTTGGCAGTTAGATTAAGAAATAATGGTGAAATTAAGGTTATTGATATTGATAACTGTCCAATACTTCTGTCTCAATATGGGGACGATACTTCACTTGCCCTAGATGGTACAGAAAGGTCATTTCCTGAATCAATTTAAGAACTTCTTCTAATGCAAAGATATCAGGATTGAAAATGAATATTTCAAAAACTCTGGTGTATGGATTGGTTGTAAGAAATACAGTTCTGAGAAATTTATTTCAGAACTACATTTACAGTGGGGTTGAAACAGTTTCTCACATCTTGGAATTGAATTTCATGTCAATTTGAACGAGATACTCAAGTTGAACTTTGATCAGAAACTGATTCAACTTAAATCGCTCATCAGAACATGGAATAAAAGAATATTGACTCTAATTGGTAAAATCAACATCATTGAATCATCACTAATTACACAGTTTAATCATTTGTTTATCTCAGCACACAGCACACAGCACACATTCAAAGCACTTGATCATCAGTAAAGTTATTGCCATCTGATTTTCAAACGTCAAACAACCAAATCTGCTGGGGAAGTCTTATATTTCAAGTAGATAGTAAATAGAAGTCATATAATATATTTAACGTCCTAATTATGATTAACAGGTGTAGTCATTCAAGGAAATGTTGGTGTTACTTGTATGCATGCTAGGCGTTTCTATAATTAGGAGAGGCACCTGCGTACATGAAGGTTTGGAGTGTAACAGGGTGGTCTCCTATGTCTTCTATCATTCAAGTCTTTGGGGTGATAAGCCAAAAATCAACACTTTGAACAAGATCTTTTAAGATCTATGGGCAGGATAAAGGTAAAAGATAAAGTTATCTTTCCGCTAAATTATTTTGGAAAAACTAATATGGAAGACATTCAAAATGTCATTTGTTCACAAAAATTTGACATTTTTCTCACAAAATGCTTAAAAATCAATAATATCTGCAGTATACTTTACTGTTTCAGTATTTTGATATTTAGTTTCTGGCTCAAACTTTCCTATTTTATTGAAAGAATAATTTCTTATTTGTTTTATGACAAAGAGCATTCATAGTTTAGTAATTTAGCTACGTAATTAGCTAATTAGGCAAGCATGGCATTGATTAACTTGGATTAAATTTAAAGCCAAGGGAACCAACTTAGATGGCACAAAGCAATGTGTCGGTGAGTGGTCTCGAAGGGTGAAAAATCTTTAGGTTGACCTCTATGGGAAATTAGCATTGTTGGAAATCCAACTTTTTACAAATTGTTCTTTTTCGTACTCCGTAACAGGGAGAATAAGAATGATGTTTAACTACCATGTACTTGAATGAGTGATAACTCCCGCCGACTAAAAATCGTAAACATCACTTCAATAAGGGCAGCATGATCTACACAAGGTTTGTATATCCCACGTTTATAAAGGCACAAGGTTTGTATATCCCACGTTTATAAAGGCACAAGGTTTGTATATCCCACGTTTACAAAGGCACAAGGTTTGTATATCCCACGTTTATAAAGGCACAAGGTTTGTATATCCCACGTTTATAAAGGCACAAGGTTTGTATATCCCACGTTTATAAAGGCACAATTTTCATTGTGACAGGATCATCTATGTTCCTTCACTGGACTTCTTCTTTTTTTCCTCGGGAGATCCATCGTTGTCATTTCGGTCGACAGATACCACTGTCTTGTCGTTCTTGGGATCAAGGAAGTCCTTTCCTGTCATGTCTGTGAAGTTGGTACATTCAAGAATGGCTGAATTAGGGACCTGAAAACAGACAGCAGGACACATGTTTATAAGGCAGACACATATATGTAATCTAGAACATCTGATTAGAAGCTGTGTTTTACATGTACATATGTACTTCAATCAAGCAAGTGACCAAAAGAAAGGGGCGGGTACCTTATAAAGAGGTGTGTACTGGGGGTGATGGTGAACCAGGACTGGGTTGTTCGAGGCTTTGTTGTATGCAGTGAGGAAAGCCCATCGTCTATGAGGACTAAAGTTTGGTCCACTTGTATGGAGTAAATTGCAGTGGAAAAAAAGAGCATCCCCTTTGAAAACAAAACAGATTTTGTTACACAACATGCATATTGTTTTACAATATTATACAGTGAAAATTCCTCAGGGGGCATTTTAGTACAACATTAGGAAACCTAGTTATGATAAAAGTAAACCAAAATACTTATCAACTGTAAGTATTTGCATACCAAGTGTCGTCGATGAAGTTTTTTCAATATTTTGAAATTTGAATTTGAACTATGATTCTGTTGACAATGTCGGTGATATCTTGTTGTCCTCAAGACAGTTATAATACATATTTGTTTAACTATTTTCTAAGTATCTAATATTAGTTAGATTATTTACATAAAGCTGCTATAGAGTTTGTTCTCACCAGGTTCCATCTCCACCACCTCCAGTGGACATTGTCCTGAATTCTTGATGTCCATAACTCTGTCAATGTCAGCCCCTGTCTGGCCAGCTACCATCAAATGATCTATCTTTCCACACTTGTGGGAAGCCCTCAGTATCTGCAAAACAATACTTCATCAACAGTATAATCACTACATTCTCTTTATTAATATGTTTCAAAGATCACATTTGTTTTTAAATGTACCTTATGCACCTTTCACCTCAACTCTAACTATAAATACACTTAAGCATCTTGACCCAATTAACTATAATTACACTCCATTGACCCCGCCTCAGTTATTTCATTACCTAAAACTTCCACACTTCCTTTTACTAATCCATTTAATTTCACCACCAATAACATTAATTAGTAGTTTTAATTAAAAAATGCTATTCATGGTCCCTTCCTTTCTGGCATATTCATAATGCATTAAAATGCAAAGAGAGATAAAGAGGAGTCTCCTCGTAGAAGCAGGTGACTACACTACCTAACACCATATGGAAGTCCCATCACATGTTGTGAAAAGTAACTGGAGTCAAGTGCTTGCCCAAAAACACAAACATGACAGCATAAAATGGCCAGTGATCTAAGTTTCCTGAGAATTATCGAACGGCCCCGAATGGAGATAAAACCATCTACCTCAGACGTTTACCTGAGGCTGCAAATTCAGATACTCTACTGACAGATCTGTGTATCCAATCAGTCAGCTCTTAAGTAAGTGGGGAGACAATGGCTGTACAGGCTTTACTGTATTGCTTTACAAAATGATTTTCCCTGTACATGTAAATACATCACATACACAGAGTCTGTAATAGTTGACATGACAGCATTCACAGAAATTATGAAAAATGAAGAAAATACCTAGAATGTACGCTAAATATAATCTGGAGAATGCCCTCTAACATTATGTAATCGTGTGATATTACATTAGATATGCACTGATACAAACCAACTCCGTTATTTATCTTAAAATTGTGTAATTCTAAAGATTTCTTATAACTGGCGTAATGCCACAAAGATTTTCTAGAGCAAAATGTTTTACCTCTAAACAGCCATTTTCTTCATTGCATCTGTCAATAGCAATGAAAACAGTCAACATGTCGGGAAACAGACATCCATTTTTGTACCAGTACCTGAAAATATGACGATATCTAGTTATACTAATACAACAGTTAAAGTAACATTCCAAAGTTCCTCAGCTGGGAATCACATTACAAAGACTTGTTCACAGGTCTAAGATTAAGGTAAATCCATTTTAACCATATATATATATGAAAGTAATAAGCAATACAGCTCACTATATCAGCATACACTACTGCACTCCTTATATGTAGGGAAGCGTTGTCTATAAGTCTGCCCGTATAACATACCATGACATGTCACCTGGGGGTTAGAAAAAGTTTTGTAGTGCTAAATGACACTATGCTGTTCATCTTCAACCCACCCTACCTCCGATAGCTATGTCAGGAGACAAAATGGTCTGCATATAACTTACCCATAGTCCTGGTGCCAAAGATGACATCCTCCAGTCTCTGCATTCTTCATCATCAGCTTTGTGTGATAGTGGTAGACATCCCCACCTAGTAACTGTCAACACACAACAAATTTTGGAATACGTAGTAATCCAATACTCTATAAGACCTTAACACTGAAATCTATAAAGATAATTCCAATGAGAAAGTTTATAAACATCGCAATATCATCTTCAGTAATTTAAGTTTTAGTCATACTCTTTATAAAGTACTCTTCGTCTTGTTCACAATCATATACTTGTCCCATCTTTTGCCATTTTTTGAAAGAAAATCTCTCATCATCGGAGAATGAAGACATCCCTTTAACTTTGAACGAGACATTGTCGTAAAAATCTTTATCAATGGACTTTCCAATGTTTCTTTCAAAAGAAATTTAATTTTCAAATTAACATCTGTGATAAAAGACCGAAATAACTGAAAATAACTTATATATACATCTCCGGGGGAAGTTATGTCTGGGAATAAATAAAAAGTCGGAAGGTGTTTGGAGGTTGTTAATATCTCCCTACGCTCTCCTTTTTTATTTAATTACCTTAGAAATAATTATTTCAGTCTTTACTACGAAAACATGTCTAATTGTTTAACCTCTGTATTCAATTTCATAAGTTTTCAAATTATACAAACATTACAGAATATTGAACCATTTCCAGACAAAGAACATATTTCACAGTGAAAGTCCTAATTTACACTTATGTAATAATCACAGATTTCCTTCGGCATGCACAAGTTCACCGTTGTTGTGATGATCTGTTCTTACCATTTCACAAGTGTTCACCATTTTTTCACAGCGTGCCACCATTCCTGTTACATCATTGCCTGGATGACTCCAGAGGGCTAACCTACATTCCCTCCCATCCTTATCAGATATCTGTCGGGTGTTAAAATGACATGATTTTCAGTTCTTTCTCTTCCTTGTAAAATCTGTCAGATTTCTCAGGTGTCGATATACAGTCAATCAGGGACATATATAATACATATATTGTTATATGATATATGTATCTCTGAATTAATGTTTATCTTAAATATTCACAAACTTTTTATAACAAGAAAATGTAAAATTAACAAAGTTGACTTGCACACATACAAAAAAGGACGTTTTAGCGAGCTTGCTTAAATTCTCTCCGAGATATCAAAACAAAGATACATTTTTAGAATAAAGTGTACAATGTTGAGTTTGTTCCTTTCTAGTTCTAGAATTAAAACAAATGTTTGGCATTGTATAAGATTATAAACAATAAAATGTGAATGCATGAGCTAAATTTGAAATTTTTGTTGAAATAGATGATTTGAAGACTTCACACAGAAGTTTCAGTCTTCTGGGTATGTGATTTCTTACTTTATAGCTTTTGCCTGTTACACTGTCATAGTCCTCCAATGCCTTCTTGATTTGCAAGAGCTCTTTTGAATCCAAAAAGTTTCTACAATAAAAGAATGTTAAACATGTAAAAATATATATCCATCTTGTTTGTCTGCCCACCAGTGTATCTAATCATAACTGAATCTACCAAGTCCAGACAGTATGATTGGATCTACCAAGTCCAGAGAGTATGATTGGATCTACCAAGTCCAGACAGTATGATTGGATCTACCAAGTCCAGACAGTATGATTGGATCTACTGAGTCCTTACAGTATAACTGGATACACCAAGTCTATTACTGAATCTACCGAGTCCATACAGTACGACTGGATTTCAGAGTGCATACAGTACGACTGGATTTCAGAGTCCATACAGTACGACTGGATTTCAGAGTCCATACAGTACGACTGGATTTCAGAGTCCATACAGTACGACTGGATTTCAGAGTCCATACAGTGCGACTGGATTTCAGAGTCCATACAGTGCGACTGGATTTCAGAGTCCATACAGTGCGACTGGATTTCAGAGTCCATACAGTGCGACTGGATTTCAGAGTCCATACAGTACGACTGGATTTCAGAGTCCATACAGTACGACTGGATTTCAGTCCATACAGTATGATTGGATCTACAAGGTCCGGAGAGTATGATTGGATCTACCAAGTCCAGATAGTATGATTGGATCTACTGAATCTGTTCTATATATAGTAATTCTATTGTGTCCCTTTAGTATAACTGTATGTACTGAGTAAGTACAGTAAAGCTTGATCCACTTTGTTAGGAAACATTGTCTCTCCACACACCACCATAATTGTTACATTATGCAACCTTCCATTAAATATTATCTTGTTCCTGTCTGGATTATCAGTTGTATGCTTACCTAAAATATTAAAAAGAGCAATAACTGAGAAATCTTACTGTTCAAATAAAACTTCAGGAAAAAGAGAATTTCAAAACATTTACCTGACCATGATGTATCCATGTTCGTCGAAATCACTCTTCATGCTGTCAACCACTTTCAGGTCTCCATCCAAACACTTGTACTCTGTCAATAAAAACATTATATTTGTCACACAAAACGATATTTGTTTCAATAGAAAAGTGAATGGAGATCAAATATGGACAAATGTACATTCTAATTGACACTTTGTTAATTTAATTATTTATATATATGCATGTTTGATGTGAAAAGTCTTTGGTGTGAATCTTGTGTCAATGCATGCCTCAACAGATGAATATTTTATCACGCAAAGCCTTAAAGTTGGTATCTTTCCGCATGAGTGCACACATGTCAATATCAATATAAATAGCATTTATCCATGACTTATCCTTCATCTAAACATTTCATTCATCAGACATGCTGACCAAATTTTACTGATTAGCTCCTTAAGGATCAGTAATCCAAGTTTTCTATAATAGGTCCCTACCTTTGACACAAAGTGCCCCCTCTTTCTGTGAATTTCACATACCTGCAGATGTCATGATGTGCTGGAATATAGATTGATCTTCTCTAGATCACTGAGGCTCCTGTCAAAATAATTATGGTACAAGCTTGATTTTCTGATCGAAAATTCTTAATGTACATGTATATCATCCACTTAATTGATTTCTTTCTTCATAATACAAATATGGTCTGAGCTGCATATAAATGGCAAACGTCAAAATTGAATTCATATTAACTATATAGAAAATGAAAGCTGCATTTTGGCAAGTAGTTTGTTGTTTAATTCTGCCTGACACCAACGTTACGTTGAACTCTGCCTGATGAGGTATGACAAAATATTTACTCCGCACAGAAATACAGTTTCAAACTTCAGTGGATATAGGAGCAATTTTATGAATTTTCGTAAATAAACATGTTCTTTACAACATATTCAAGAGACCTAGCGGCCTTGATGGTCACCTCAGATAAGCAATATTGTCATGAAAAAAGAAATTGTGACATTGATGATCATAAGCAATTGTCAATGTCTACAAACCATCAAAACTCTCATCATACACCGATAATTCTTACTATATTCAGTGTCGTAATTTCTGTTTCCTGACACTTGATAACTACCCTGTAACCTTTGTATTCAATATTGCTTATCTCAGGTGACCGTCAAGGCCACTGGCTGTAGGCCTCTTGTTTAAATAAATCTTATAATATGATAATATTTGCATTGATATATGTACTTGTTTGATGGCAATTCGTTGTCATAGCGTATCTAGCGAGAAATGGTTCTTAACGGGTCAGAAACTAATGAGCCGAGGATGTATATTCATCTGCGTACCGTAGTCTAGCGGATTGTGTTGCGTTTATAGATAGCACAATAAACCTAGTGATAAGTATACTTGCATTAAATGTGACAGGCTGAAAGAATATTTCAATTTTGACTTTACACAACTACACAGATATTTCATTGCAACAACTATCAGACAAATGTACACTGATATTTACATACTTTTGTACACAATATCAAGTTGTTGAAGCTGCCGATTATTTGAGGGATAGGATGGTGGTGAAATGTGTAGACCGGTCCCGGCCCCAGTCCGGCCCCAAATACTCGTACCAGGAAATTAAGAAATTATTCATATCTCGAATTTATGACACTTGTATGAATTAATTTAGATATCGAGATTGTATTTTTGATGGGGTGAAACCTCGTATGCCACACCCATACGTGAAATTTTCCATTTTTCTTTTCAAAATACAGCTATTATACCTATAGAAGGAGGTCACTCCTTCAGTCTGTGCCGTAACAGAAGATATCTAGATTAATTCATACAAAGTTTCAGATTTTTAAAACATTTAAATAAATTTATGCTGAACTTTTGAAATTTGTTTGATTTGTATGAATTATTTCTAAATTTCCTGGTAGAGGTACCGGGGCCGAGACCGGCGTACCTAATTTCCACCAACAGTCTGGTTTCATTTTCCGTACATAATGTTGTAACACCGATGAAATGTCAAAGATTGTATAATGTGGCGAACCGTTTCATTTGTTGAACGGGTTGAAGTTGACTTTGACGGGAATCTATTCAATCAAGCAATAACCTTAGCTGACATCGACAATGACAAGGTAACTATAAGATATTGAAATTTTATTTGTAAAGGAGCGAGTTATCTCCCTCCAATAAAATGAAACACGAGAACAAAATATCAGTTCAAACATAAATATGACTTCTGTGTGCATCGATGTGTCTGAGCTCAGAGTAGGAAATCCTTCTTCAATTAAAGGATGAATTGGAGATCCAGTATCTCCTCGCCAAACCAAGAAACAATAATATAAGCAGCCGGCATTAACCTATGACTATGTACAGTATCCACAAATCCATGGTCACTGACTGCAGCATTTGTAGATTACTGAATATGCTTTAATGATAAAAATGAGATCAGTTTGGAAATACCCTATGTAGCTTTTCTATTGCTCAGCAAGTATTCAGACAATTTCTTTTTATATCAAACGTATTATTTGTCCAACAGGCCAATGAATTGATAGTTGGTAACACAGAAGGCGACCTTGCAATCTTCAAAGGAACAAATCGAAGACCATGGAAAGTTTGTACAGACCTGGGAATGGTAAGTATTTTGGAAACATGTAATCTGTAATTATGAATTAAGTTACTTTTTACACAGTAAATTGTTATGATGTTTAATACATGTAAGTAGTACATAGTTTATCCTGTAACTTGTCTACCACTATACATTGAATTAGAACCATTTATAAACCCATTTATGATATTATCAAAAGATTGCATAATAATGGCGGACCTTTCAAGATTAGGAAATATTGTCATACATGTATGAAATATGTAGCCTCGAACAATGGTGAAGTCTTCTTTTGTTTTCAGCATACATTGTTTATAATGACAAAGAACTACAAGCAATTAACAAGTGAAGGATGATATAGTCATACAAACAGTTATCAACTAATATCAGTTTAAATTGTCGCTCATAATTCTTACAGATTACATGTATTGGTGTGGGAGATGTCTATGGAAAAGGCAAAGTAAGTAAATATGAAGTACATTTTTTTCACTGGAATATTATATTGGTGAAAATATTGTTTAAAAGCAATAAACCTCCTGTACTTATGTATATTTTTTTCTGGTCATGTAATTTTGTACCCCACAAAAGAAATTAGACCTTATTGACTGTTTTAAGCTGATGAATTTGAACAGTTCTTCCTTTTTTAACTACTTACAAGTCTCAGTGGCCATTTTGAAGTTTCTGTATTATAATGCCCCTGATGAACTCCCCCAAATCCTACTTATATTTTGTTACAAATTATTGATGGGTCTCAATATCTCACAAACAGAATATCTTGGTGGTCCTGACAGCTGAGGGCTGGTGCTATCTCTTTGAAGTGAAAGGGGACTCATCTTCAGGGGAGGTAATTCTTTTTTTTTTCATTTGATCAGGGTCATCACATGGTGCTCATTGTAACATTGATATTTTACAATTTGGCAACTTGTATATTTTTAATTACTTTTATAATTCAAAATCTACAATGTTTTGAACCTTAGAAAAGTATCAGATAGATTTTGGAAAATGACCAAACAGGAGACATATACTAATTAGACATAGGATATACAGATTGTAATTAAATTTTTTAAAACTTTTTGTTAGTTTTACTCATTCATTTTTTGTTAATGAATACTTTATTCGTAGATTGGCAAGGATACTGAGGAGGAACTGGACAAAATACTAAAGCCATCATTTACTCAACACTTACCTGCAAATGGCAAAGTTCTTCTCATAGATGATGTTGGTATGTATGTAGGTAAAAGCTATTTGTACATTTTGTAGGTGAAGGAGTAGGATTATATCAGTAGGTGTGGGAGTAGGATTATATCAGTAGGTGTAGGAGTAGGATTATACCAGTAAGTGTGGGAGTAGGATTATATCAGTAGGTGTGGGAGTAGGATTATATCAGTAGGTGTGGGAGTAGGATTATATCAGTAGGTGTGGGAGTAGGATTAGTATAGGATTATACCAGTAGGTGTGGGAGTAGGATTATACCAGTAGGTGTGGGAGTAGGATTATATCAGTAGGTGTGGGAGTAGGATTATATCAGTAGGTGTGGGAGTAGGATTATATCAGTAGGTGTGGGAGTAGGATTATACCAGTAGGTGTGGGAGTAGGATTATACCAGTAGGTGTGGGAGTAGGATTATATCAGTAGGTGTGGGAGTAGGATTATATCAGTAGGTGTGGGAGTAGGATTATATCAGTAGGTGTGGGAGTAGGATTATACCAGTAGGTGTGGGAGTAGGATTATACCAGTAGGTGTGGGAGTAGGATTATATCAGTAGGTGTGGGAGTAGGATTATATCAGTAGGTGTGGGAGTAGTGTTATATCAGTAGGTGTGTGGGAGTAGGTATATCAGTAGGTGTGGGAGTTATTATATCAGTAGGTGTGGGAGTAGGATTATATCAGTAGGTGTGAGGAGTAGGATTATATCAGTAGGTGTACCAGTAGGTGTGGGAGTAGGATTATATCAGTAGGTGTGGGAGTAGGATTATATCAGTAGGTGTGGGAGTAGGATTATACCAGTAGGTGTGGGAGTAGGATTATATCAGTAGGTGTAGGAGTAGGATTATATCAGTAGGTGTAGGAGTAGGATTATATAAGTAGGTGTGGGAGTAGGATTATATCAGTAGGTGTAGGAGTAGGGTAACTGGTAAGTTTGGGAGTAGGGTGGTATTAATGCTTATAGGTGTAGGAGCATGATTTATTTGCAGATGTAGGTTAAGTGTGGGAGTGGGATTTTGGTATTAGATGTGTAAGTAGGACACTATTTGTAATTTGATAGGATAGTATTAAAAGGTGTGGGAACAGGATGCACTTTTGTGAATAGTAAACTACTGCAGTGTTTTTTATCTTTGTTAAAGCTGCTGCCAATCACTTCATAAGTTAGAAAAATATCAAATGTTTTTCGTATGAATTAGGAAGGTGTTCTTGGTTTTTTTTTTTATTAATTTACGGAAATAAGCCACATATTTGGTTGGTGAACAGTCTGTTTTTGACTGTTAAAAGAAGATAGAATAATTGCTAAACAGCAAAGAAGGTATTTGCTGTCTGGTATTGAAACTTAACTGGTACCTTGTCACTCATCTGTTGAGTGTTATTTACAGTTACTGTCACTCATCTGATGACAGGAGCATGCTTCTCTAGCTCAGTTGAAAGTACATTATCATGCCAGTGATCTTGTTTTCATTCCTAGTTTGAGCACTCAACAGGAATGTGTTTTCCCCGTTCTTTCACATTGGCACGAAATCCCATGGGTTGTGGTCTTTGGAGTTTAGGGTTGATGATTGGGTAATCTAAAAAAAAAAACCAAAAATAAAAAACAGGGGGAGTATACATTGTGTAAAAAGAGTGAGTCAATGTGGCTTGTATATGTGTTAAATACAGTCTCTTACTCAGTTGATGGAGCATGCTTCGTTGGCTCAGTTAGTAGAGCCAGGCAATTATCATGCCATAGACTTGAGTTTGATTACAACTGTATAGTTTCATGAAATATGTACATTTGATGGAAAGAAACAGAGAACAAAGCTTTATCATTGTATCTTGATGAGAGATTGTATCTGTTTGAGAGTGATGAGTTTACAAAAATGTTTGAATGTGATTTTACAATAATTTTAATGTTGGCTCCTTGTCTTTACAAAAGCAATCTAAAAATGTTATATTGACTGATACTTGTAACTTCTGCCATCAGATGGGGATGGACAGACTGAGGTGATGGTTGGGTACTCAGATCGAGTGGTCAGGTGTTTCACCTGGTCAGTTTCCCAGGACCATGATATTGAACAAACCAGTGGAAAATTTTTACAGTCAGGGAAATGGCAACTCACAGGACAGGTAACACTGATAGTCAACAAATTGTAAACCTGGCATATGGACAGGGAACTTGTGTACAGTTACTTTGATTTTTTTATGATTTACATAGTACATCATACTGCAGTTTTCAATTTACTACTTGATAATGTTAGTAATATTGTTTTTCCCCAAAAGTATTAGCTAGAGGGTACTTGAATATGTTTCGGCCAAATCAAAGTATTATGCTTATATTAGCTCCAGACAAGAGAAAAAGACCAATCACTAAGTTTGACAGATCAAATAGGAGCTAACCCTCAATGAAATTCCCTGGTATCGTTATAAAGCTGTTTGACTTCTTTTATTGTGTATACATTAGATCACAGGTAGCACTTGATTATGTAATGTATCATGTATCATCTACATGGAGTGTTGAAGAGAGCTTCTATTGTGTCATGACATACTCCAGAGGAGATCTATGTATCTAGAATTCAATCCTTAAATTCAGAGGGAAGAAAATAATGGGGACAATGATATATATAGTAAATGGTATCAGTGACCACCTTACAGCTCGTTATATCTGCAGTTCTCATGGTACTTAATTCTTAATGTGTTGTCTTTATGTACTATAAAAAAAGACCATTGACTTATTTTTTCACTGAACATGAGATCCATTCCATGACACTTTGTGATTTCTAAGATTTAGAATGACTTCTTACTTGTCTCAATATCCACCATCATTTTACTGCTGTAAGTGATAGGTACGTTAGATATTATTGCAGTGAGGGATTTTGAGGAAGACATTCAGTACCCAAATATGATCCTGATGGCAATTTTGATAAAGTCAAATTGTCAGACATCCTGATTATGCAGTTGTGTGTTGATGATTTCCCATTGGATTTACACACACCTATTTACATTTCTACTGGTGTCATGTTTGTTAGACTTGTGCACTTTTTTTATTGATTTTGTGAATCAGATTGGATCATTAACTGTGAATATGTGTGAGGATGGTCGTCCAGAAGTGCTCGTTTCCCAGCCAGGAGGAACGTATGTAACACTTTACCATACTACAGAGGCTGAGGATGCTGACATTCACAAGTAAGCAGCTACTGGTCATATCAATTAAATATCACATAGTGAACCTCATCTCTCTATATCCTACCACATTGTGTACCTCATCTCTCTATATCCTACCACATTGTGTGCCTCATCTCTCTGTATCCTACCACATTGTGTGCCTCATCTCTCTGTATCCTACCACATTGTGTGCCTCATCTCTCTGTATCCTACCACATTGTGTACCTCATCTCTTTGTATCCTACCACATTGTGTGCCTCATCTCTCTGTATCCTACCACATTGTGTGCCTCATCTCTCTGTATCCTACCACATTGTGTGCCTCATCTCTCTGTATCCTACCACATTGTGTACCTCATCTCTCTATATCCTACCACATTGTGTGCCTCATCTCTCTGTATCCTACCACATTGTGTGCCTCAACTCTCTATATCCTACCACATTGTGTACCTCATCTCTTTGTATCCTACCACATTGTGTGCCTCACCTCTTTGTATCCTACCATAATGTGTACGTCATCTCTCTGTATCCTACCACATTGTGTGCCTCAACTCTCTGTATCCTACCACATTGTGTGCCTCAACTCTCTATATCCTACCACATTGTGTGCCTCAACTCTCTATATCCTACCACATTGTGTGCCTCATCTCTTTGTATCCTACCACAGTGTTTCATCTCTTTGTATCCTACTACATTGTTTCATCTCTCTGTATCCTACCACATTGTGTACCTCATCTCCCTATATCCTACCACATTGTGTACGTCATCTCTCTGTATCCAACCACATTGTGTACCTCATCTCTTTGTATCCTACCACATTGTGTGCCTCATCTCTCTGTATCCTACCACATTGTGTGCCTCATCTCTTTGAATCCTACCATATTGTGTACCTCATCCCTTTGTATCATACCACATTGTGTGCCTCATCTCTCTGTATCCTACAACATTCTGAGCCTCATCTCTTTGTATCCTACCACATTGTGTGCCTCAACTCTTTGTATCCTACCACATTGTGTGTCTCATCTCTTTGTATCCTACCACATTGTGTACCTCATCTCTTTGCATCCTACCACATTGTGTGCCTCATCTCTTTGTATCCTATCACATTGTGTGCCTCACCTCTTTGTATCCTACCATAATGTGTATGTCATCTCTCTGTATCCAACCACATTGTGTACCTCATCTCTTTGTATCCTACCACATTGTGTGCCTCATCTCTCTGTATCCTACAACATTCTGAGCCTCATCTCTTTGTATCATACCACATTGTGTGCCTCATCTCTCTGTATCCTACAACATTCTGAGCCTCATCTCTTTGTATCCTACCACATTGTGTGCCTCAACTCTTTGTATCCTACCACATTGTGTGTCTCATCTCTTTGTATCCTACCACATTGTGTGCCTCATCTCTTTGTATCCTACCACATTGTGTACCTCATCTCTTTGCATCCTACCACATTGTGTGCCTCATCTCTTTGTATCCTATCACATTGTGTGCCTCACCTCTTTGTATCCTACCATAATGTGTGCCTCATCTCTCTGTATCCTACTACATTGTGTGCCTAATCTCTCTGTATCCTACCACATTGTGTGCCTCATCTCTTTGTATCCTACCACATTGTGTGCCTCATCTCTCTGTATCCTACCACATTGTGTGCCTCATCTCTCTGTATCCTACCACATTGTGTGCCTCATCTCTTTGTATCCTACCATCCTACCACATTGTGTGCCACATCTCTTTGTATCCTACCACAATGTGTGCCTCATCTCATTTGAATCTGGCCAAATTTTTGCCTCATTTTATTTGTATCCTTACATATTGTAGGTTTGAAAATGAATGTTTAGGGATTTCAAGAACCAGAAACATTTCTATTTCTACCGAAATTGTTGGCGGCATTAAAAAGGGAACCAATGAAACAGAAGCTGGGACCTTCTATGCCCTTTGCACTCTTGATGGTATGTTGTCTTTTGTATGTAATATGTAAGGTAAAGCATTACTTATGGTACCATGAGTGTTGATCATACGATATTGATATACCAGGATATTTGTATCACCACCATAAAGATTTAAACATGTTCTCAATTATTAAGGTTAGATGGAGATATCCTCAGATAATGCATCTATCACTAACTTCTGTAACCTTTTATCACCCTTCTAAAATAATGTTTAAACCTGATTCAGGTGCTGGATAATTTTGTTGATTTTAGGAACACTGCTGCTGGTTGAAAACAAACAGATTTTATGGTCATTACAAGTCGATCACCAACTGTTTTCATTAACAAAGCTGGACATCACAGTAAGTCTCAGTCATGTCTACAAAGACATCACAGTAAGTCTCAGCATGTCTATGTAGACATCACAGTAAGTCTCAGGAATGTCTATGTTAACATCACAGTAAGTCTCAGGCATGTCTATGTAGACATCACATTAAGTCTCAGACATGTCTATGTAGACATCACAGTAAGTCTCAGGAATGTCTATGTAGACATCATAGTAAGTCTCAGGCATGTCTATTTAGACATCACAGTAAGTCTCAGGCATGTCTATGTAGACATCACAGTAAGTCTCAGACATGTCTAGGTAGACGTCACAGTAAGTCTCAGACATGTCTACATTGACATCACAGTAAGTCTCAGGCATGTCTACATAGACATCACAGTAAGTCTCAGGCATGTCTATGTTGACATTATGGGGAGTCCCAAGCATGTCTATCTGAACATCATAGTAAGTCACAGGCATCTCTAGGATATTGAATTTCATATGTATGCAAGAAAATGTGTTTTTATTCTCTCCAAATGTAAAAAGTTCAAGAAGCAAGCAGGAATTAAGTGTTGTTATGATTTACCTGGTGTTAGTATCTTAAGAGAAAAACCTTTGTTCAGAAATTTGAAATATCTTTCATATATGTTTATTAAGGTTGACTCAGTTCAAATGAAGGCCTTGACAGTGCTACTGGAACATGTTTGTAATCTATCTATGTATCACCCAGTAAGGCTAAGTGTCCTGTGTATATATATCACTAGATTATCCCATATGTTTAGTTATCATTGTGACAAACAGGAAGGTATGTTCAGATCACAACTGTGAACTTGTTGACAGGGAAATGGCATGGAAGAGGTCGTTTGCTGTGCATGGGACGGTCAGACTTACATTGTGAACCACACCAAAGATGTAGTTCGCTATCATTTTGAAGAGAATGTGAAGACATTCACTGCTGGTAAGTTGTTTAGTTTTTGTTTGTGTACATTGGTAAAATGGCTGTAGATGTTGCTTACATCTGATGATAATGTAAATTTGAGAGCAAAGACACTTTCATCTGTGAAAGGATATGCATGCAAGATTGTAGTAAAACCATTAAAAAGAGTTTTACTACATATAATTAGTTATTACCAGGAATTTGTCTGTTCCTGGACTATGTATTGTTTCACCAAAATCCAGATGATTATTAACTGTACTGCTCTACACCTGCATTAGAAATCTTACCCAGGGTTCATACTGACCGTCTAGTGCTATTATGACTTGACCTCTGTGGGCCTCTATGCCCTTGAGATTTGTTACCTGGGTTACATATAGACCCTGTAGTGCTATAATGATTTGACCTCTGTAAGTCTCTACACCCTCGAAAATTGTTACCCGGGGTTCATACTGAACATGTAGTGCTACTATGTCTTGACCTTTTTGTTACATATAGACCATAAAGTGCTATAACGATTTGACCTTTGTGGGTCTCTACACCCCAGAGAATGTTACCTGGGGTTACATACTAACCATGTGATGCTATTATGACTTGGCCTTGGAGGGCCTTTACAGCCTTGAGTATTGGTGCCAGGATTGACTTGACATTTTCTGTACTCTACACTCTGGTGTGGTGGTACCAGGATTACATACTAATGAATGTAGTGCTGTAATGGTAACATAGTTACATTTTTAGGAATGTAGGGCTATTTTGACTTGACCTTTGTGATCGTCTAAACCACAGATACTGTATAGATTGTAATACTTGTGGGGAATTTAATTTCGCTATTTTCAAAGTCAGTGAAGATAGTTTGCAATTCATTATTTTAACAGGGAATGAAAATCTCATTATATATTTGTAATGCCTGTTTAAATGGATACTATTTCATAGACATGTGGGAAAGACATTTCCTTAACCCAGGACAACTGCAAAATATTAGCCCGCCAAAATTAACAACCATACAGTACATACCAACAATTTACTACTATAGTAACTTGGTCTTTGTATTCCTCCACTGCCTATAGAATTGGTACCTGGATTACATACTTACAATGTGGTGTTATGATATCTTGACTTTTGTGGGTCTCTGTGCCCTGGAGAATCGGCGCCAGGGTTACATATAATAATATAGTGCTATATAATTACTTAACCTATCTGGGTCTCTCCACTTCAAACGGGGTGTACTACTAAAATGGCCTGACTTTTTTTGGCCTTTACACCCTAGCAGGATTAGGTACTCACAATGTACTGTTAAGATAACTTAACCTTTCTAGACCTCTAAAGCACAGCTTGGAGAAATCGTACCATGGTTACATACTTACAATGTGGCACTTTATATTGCCTTTTTCCCTTTACAACGTGCAGTTAAATGTTTTTTTGCTCTAAAGATTTGAGGTATGCTGCTACGATTTACACAATGATGGTTTAATGATTTTAGAACTATACCTTCGTCCTAGAGAGTTAAGTTAACCACATGTTGCTATACAATCTATATATATAATACTGAAATATAACCTTTACCCTCCAGGACAGTTCAGTGTGACTGACCACGAAAATGTTCCCTGCTTTGTGTATGCCACCTTCAACAACAAAATATACATCTACTACAACATAAGTCTGCCGCAGGTGGAATCCACCAACCTCATCGAGGTCATGGACCGGATCCCAGAGACTCATCAGCTGTTCCAACAGCTCAATATCATAAGTAAGAACTTGATTTCATAATGTGCTTGGTATGTTTTCATATGCTGTGGTGTTTTGCAGACTTCATTTTCAGTAACCTACATTGTATCAAAGAAAACTATTTAAACATTTCTGATTTATACATGAGCATTAGACCCTAGAATTGGTACATAACTAAAACGTTGCTATTGGACAATGGACACGACCAAGCTGCATTTTAAGTAAATTGTATGTTATTAGAAAAAATACCCAAGCCCCCTTGACATTTTCGTTTGAATGAAAATGTCATATTCATAGCCCTTCAAATTTCAGAAGCCTAGCAGTTATTAATTACCAATTATGAATTTGTAAGTGACTAAGTCTCAAATCAAAAAGTCCTTACACTCCACTCTGACAGTTGACAGTTTTCACTGAAGGCATGTTTTTAGTGAATACATGTTTATGTGAAATGAGATTGAGACGAGTAGCTGACTGTGAATTTATTCATGATAAAGACGTTTCTTCTTGATAAATGATGACGGGGGTATATTCATTTTTGTACCATATATTCTTTAATGTTTCAGATCCTGACACCAAAACTCTCAGGGAACTTTATCATTGGTGTTTATATGGAAAAAAGACGAAGACTTGATGTATAAATTTGGTGTATTCCATGTGGTTTGAATTTGTCAATGTTATTCTGTGGACAGCACGATTGATATACTGACAGAGAGTACCTGGCTGGTGATATATAATTCAGCTACAAAGGATCCCATGCAGAAAAATAGTGACAGAGCTATTGGGCTGATGAACATCGTTTCCCCCAAAGAATATCATTTCTTTTAAGGGATACAAACAACTTTGTTTCCAATTAAACAAAAAGTGGAATGTTCATACATTGACTGCTTGCTTGTAAAGGATTACAACCTTTTTGTGTGAAATAAGACGCGAAGTGAAAGATGAATTAAAAATTGACAATCATATTTCAGAGTGATAGTAAGTATTTGAACGACTGATGATTTTAAACATCATCATATATTGTTTATTAAGTTGTGAAAAGAGAATATTCTCCAGTACATATATTCCTATTATTAGGTCATCAAAATAGATAGCTTTCGATCTTTCCACACATCCAGACCTGACCAGATCAAACTCGGACCTTGTCTGTTCCACTCGCCCAAGCTTACCCTCATGCTCACAAGAGTATTCCTCCCCAATTAATCAATATATTTTTACTTCTTTCATACTAACTACATATACATGTAACTTCCATTTTTATCTACCCTTTGCTCTTGGCTTACTTAATGACGAGCAGTTTTTAAGCTGTGCCTCTATGACTGATTTCCAACACATACATCAATTTTTTAAATACAAATGCTTTCATTTTCTAAAACAAACTTTCTATTACCAATTTCTTTCACAAGTCTTCTGATCAACATACTAGTGGTTAGTTGGTCAGAGAATATAGACCAGGTCCAAGGCATTTGAGTCGAGTGATGCTTCATGAGGTCTTTAATGGTAGCGAGATAATTTATGTTGACCCTGGAGTACTTGTATAGGTTTAAAGAGGATTGTATTAAACATATCCAAACGAAGAAAAGGTAACCACGTTTATTTGTAATTATACTTATTATGCTATTCATAAGTTAAACACATTGAATAAAATATTCATAATTACACATATTCCGACAGAATTTCTCAGAGTGAAATATTTTTTTTAGCAAACAATAATTACAACAATGATACGTAATACTGTATACTACACATGTGTGTGGTTGCAGCAAACTCGGGCACTTTTATCGATTAATACTTATTGTCATCTTTGCTAAGGTATGGAGGTTAACCTATATTTCAATTCTTTCCAAATTAATTCTATGCATTCTGTAACTTTTATTAATGCACTTTTATGACAGTGATATTTGCTTATACAGTGATATTTGCTTATGACAGTGATATTTGCTCACAAGGCAAGGCCCATATATTGCAATTGAACAAGAGGCAAATATCTTCAGAGATTGGATGTTACAAAAAGTTGAAGTGGTGTAATTTCTTGTCAAAATTCATGGAGATTTGAATGAGTTTCCTCAGTTTTAATACAAATTCAGCGTGTTGAATTATTTGTATCTCTGTGTGATTGTTGTTTACGGCGTAGCATCAGAGCCAGCACTGCCACCAGGAAGACTACAAGCACTCCACAGGCCACGCCTCCCCACACTATGTAACCTGCAACAGAGATCATAACAGGAGTTCTTCATTGTTTCATTTAAAAAAAACATAAAGGCTTTGTTACGAGTCTTTGGAAAACAAGTAGTGTTTGGAAACAAACCAATGTCACGTGTGACCAAGAATTGGAAGCGACACAGCATCTAACCTAATCATCCCCGATACACCAGGGGTTAAACCTACTAGCGCTCTCTGCACTCCTGGACAAGTTCATGCCAAATTTTAAGGTTCCATATGCGGCATTTTGTGGATAAGACAAGAAGACTAGTTTGATCCTTTGTATATATTAAACGAATGAAGAAGTCTCACAACTGTATATTATACTGGCTTTGAATTGGTTGTCGCTCCTTAATCTTCGAAGAAGCATATCAGTCTATGATTGGTCATTTTTTTTACCCTAAAACCCACTTGTGCCTTTAATTTTGTCATATATTCCAAAGGTGCAGTGGGCGAAGGTGATTGTAACCCCTGGAGTATCGAGGATGTTAATCTAATATGCCTGAACATTTCTGAAGCTGATGTATAGACCTGTTATGAACCTTCCAAGCATCAGTTTGTTTGTCATTGTCTTTTACAATATCAACAAGGATGTGACCTTGCCCTTCAGTACAAGCAACATTGTGTAGTTGCCATTCAAACCAGTTCCCGCAGTACTGTAGAGTGTATACATCCTTTTTTAAAAACAACGGATTATGACTTTGCATTTAAAAACGGAGCTATGCTGTTTTTATTGACAAACTTTTAGCATTATACAATTCTTACTCACAAAATATTACTGTTTTACATTTAATATGACAAAAGCATTTCGTTTTGTTTTTGACGTACAAAATTATTAACATCTTACATTTTCTTATTTGCAAAACATAACTTGTAAAAATTATTTTTGGCCTCAAAATGTGTTATTTGAACTTTTACAGTATTCAGTGATATTCTAATGATGGCTATGGGTCCCCCGGGTTGTTTACAATTGTCAGGAAACTGTGAAAAAACGTATTAAACAGGGTACCATCGATGACCAATCGACTCATTGTTGCCGGCTGCATTTTTAAGGTCTAATACAACATTTTGTTTTTGAGTTTTTGGGGTGGTTTTTTTTCAGTTCTTTTTTTTTTTAGTTTTTTCTTTTATGTTTTCTCACATAGTTATCTTTTTTACCTTGTTGACCACTTATTAGATTTTGAACAAAACTACCTACATGATAACTGTTTGCATCGGAATCTTTTCTGAGAACTTCCGTTAAGTCAGTCATCGCTATCCCTCTTTCTCTGTGTATCAAATATTTATATAAATATACTAGAGAGTTGAGTTGCTATATTCGAATAGGGTTATATGTCAACGTTATACACTGTTTGTTTAAAAAGTTAAGGGAAGCGTCGTGAAAGAAGGGGACAATCCAAACGGATCGCAATACTCTCCACTTCTTTCTTCGTCTATGTATACGGCAATCCAGTGTTGACCTTGTTTCGTATCCGAATCGGTATTACATACTAACGAACATGGCGACGTTAATGCACGAGGCAATCATGTTCCTGGCATAGATGAAATCTTTTCTGAGATGATTTCTATCTCCAAAGTGTTCGTTTTAGGCATTGAAATCAAATAAGACCTGTCGATCCCTGTCGATTTCTACGATGTTGTATAAACCTGAATAAACCATGTAGCTCCTTATGTAATGTTTTGCAGTAAAAATCGGTTGTAAAGGCTGTGCAGGAACCCGTTTGCCATCCACGTTCTGATGTCTTTCAATCGATTCATCAACATTTCCATTTTTGAACGTGGAGGGTTCGGTACACTGTGTAAGATGATGTCTTGAATGGAGTCCTTTGGTTTTCCTGTTGCTGCGTTGTCCTTCGATACACCAACTGAGTGGATGTTATCAATCAAGATAGGTTTATTAATGTCGTGTCTGTAATGCCGGTATCTGGACATGTACTTCTGTAAAGTCTGATTGTATAACGCCATTTTATCGTCTAACGGAAGATCGTCTCGATTTAAGATGTTTGACATGTCGCTGTATATGTCGTGCATGGATTTCACGATCGAGTTCACCGGCGGGTTAGGTCTCACTCGTACACTGTACCCCTGCATCACTTCTCATATTCCCTCGAAGTCCATCCCAGAGTTTGGTCGCTAACGGTAACACTGTGGGTGCCAGTGCCTGAATGAACCCCACTTTTGGACGATGCGTTTCTTTTGTTTTAACAGCAGCCTCTTGACTAATATACGAAGACCGAAGAGTGAGAAACGTTTCTTCTGTTGTTTCATCAACGGCACACGACCTTATAATATCTTTTGAATGCACTCAAAGATAGTTTTATTAGACCTTCGTCGGCCTTTCGAGGATCGCTTTACACGTTGCATGTTTAGCTCGACATAAATACTGCAAGTCTCTACAGTGTTTATCCATTTATCGAGAAACGACGACTCGTTTCAAATGTTTGAAAAATGTTTCGATAGATGGCTACCTTATATAGACTTTTTAGGGAAGATAAACCTTTTGATATTGTCCGGGAAATATATCGGTATGCAATCTGTGATCAGGATTAGTGCCTTGTTTCAGGTCTATTAGCAAATAACCGGGGGGTTAAGACGTTGCTTCTTCGTAAGCTTTTCGCAGAAGAGTGCTTCCTCTCGGAAACATCTGTGAAGACAGACGTCTGTTTTGCGAAGTGTCTCTATGGCTTTTCATCAACACGATGCAATGGGCGTTAAGACTGATGTTTCTGTGTTCGTTTTTTTTTTTTGGGGGGGGGAAACATTCAATTTCGTACGATGTACATCACGCTAATGTTTCTGTGATTACCCTTCTTCATAAATAACGACGTCACGCTTGCATCCACTTCCGTCACGATCTAGATTAGGTCAACCTTCGTGAAAGTTGACGCCTTCAACGAACACGTAGAAAGTCTGATGTTCCCTGTAACACCACACGACGCGATCGGGTACGGGAGTCATCATTTCTCGGACGTTTTCTACGATTTGTTTTTACGAACACAGTCTTTCCGCTTCCGGTAGGGCCCGCGATCAGGCACGTAAAAGGATGTATCCAAGGCAAGAAATGACTGACGGATACGGATGACAACATATGTTCGGGTACGCCGCTGATATTGAAAGGATATTGTTTTTCTTCGATGGGTACACTGTGTCAGGTTGAACTGTCAGGGAGATGCGTATCGTCATTTGGATGTTTTCTTTGATGCATATCTCATGACACATGTTTTCGTTTCTTGTGCACTTTCTTAGAATATTTCCTCGTGAAAGATTGAAAACAAATCGGACAAACGTGATCGTTAGGTGTGATGTAAATATGGTGTTGATACATTTTCGATTTCCCTTTGTATGCTTTTTCGAGGATACAACGTTGGTATCGATCCAGAGTTCGAATCTGGCTGCCGGCCTTACCACCGAACTAATGCTAATTTCTTTTACTTTTTTCGTTTTTAAAACTTCTTTCTTCCAGACCGTTTTTTCCTTTATTTACTTTCTGCAAATTTTGACTTTATACACGGGGATGTTTCTTCGGAAATACATTCGAGAAATATTTTCTTCGGTCCACTTCTTATGCCATATGCGACGAAACTGACGTTTCTTATAACTCAATCTTACCTTATCTCCTTTCTTGAATTTGTACTTCCTTCTCTTCAAAGGCTTCTTATTCTCTCTTCTGATTGAATTGAGCTGTTTGGCGTCTTCGTTTACGTCCTTTGGGGCGAAACCGTGCAGTATCGAATGTTTCCTACCGTTGTGGCTTCGAAGGAGACCCGGTAACACGTCGGTGAACCTGTATGTCTGATTGGAGTGGAAGTATCTTTAGTGATATTTTTCAATTTACCTATGAAGGATTCGGCAAAGGCAGCTTGTGAGCACTGTGACTCGCTACATGTGTGACGCCTGTGGATTTACAATAGCGTTTAAACGAGTCGTTCAGAAACTCCTCTCCGTGGTCCGATCTGACGAGTTCTGGTTTTCTTTCGACAAAGGTTTCTTTGAAAACTTCCAAAACGGTGTTGGCTTTCTCGTTTTTAAGAGGCTTTACCCAAGCATACCGCGAAAAAGATCGATGACAACTAGTAAAAGCACACACCGTCATTATTCTCCTTGATGTTAGATATGACGGCCAAATCTGCATCACACTTGTAATCAACGCCGATTAAAGGGGTTTAGACCAGCGGGGTTTGGTTTCTCACTTGTCTTCGAACGCTGTAGAGGTTTTGGTTTTGTAGTCAATCGCGATCTGTGATTGATTGATATTATATTAACCTTCATTTTTCATGCCCTCAAACAACCTTGAGGGACCCGTTAAGCCTAAAACGTGCTTGGGATCGTGCTATATCTTACTCAGATAATCTTCTTGCTTTCTTGACAACATTTTCCCCTTACGACTGACAAACACCTTCTCTTTATGTATTGCTCTGTGCTACTAACATTTTAAATTGTTTAAGAAATGAACCTGTCCTTTGTACATCACGCAAGTCTTTAGTGAATATTTCAAACATCAATAATCCACGGTAACTAACTTGGTCAACTCATTATCGCAGATATCCAGTCTTTTCTTTTTAACCTAAAGTAAAGTTTGTAAAGAGAACGAACAGCGGTAGGCATCATAGAGACAGAATTCGACAACATTGTAGTAATGACGCGTGTTTCATCGAAATGGGTCATATCTATAGTTTTTCTTCCTACCTGGCCTTAATTTTCCCCAACAATTGCAAACAACCCGTGGGACCCGTAACCATCATTATAACATCACTGAATACCGGAAATGCTAATTTAAGACATTTTGAGGCCAATCATCTTTTTAAAAGTAACGTTTTGCAAATAAGAAATGTAAAATTTTTGTATGTGATTTTTTTTCAAATATTGTTTTTGTCAGTATAAAATGTAAAATAGTAATATTTTGTAATTAAGAATTGTAAAATGCTAAATTTTTGTCAATGAAAACAGAAAAACATGCAACTACCAGCAGTGAACAACGGCAAAACAGCAGCAAAAGTTTGATTATTTTGTCATCATTACATGTTTTGAAAAACAAATACTAAAGATATAATTTTATAAATGAAAATGTAAGTTTTGCAAATAGAAAATGTGATAATTTAAATATATGTAATAATTTTATGCTTTTTGTTGGTAAAATAGTAATATTTCGTAATAAACAAACTGTAAAAATTAATTATGTTTCTGCATGCAAAATACTAAGAGTACACGCCAAAACACACCATACACACCATACAAGTTATTTCCCGTTGTAAAAAAGGATGTATACACTCAACGGTATAGCCGAAAACTTAATGACGTCGTAAAAAAATCAACTTGTCAGTCGAAATACGTAGTCTACCATAGCCAAATACATCAATGACGTCGTAAAAACCAACCCTTCAGTCTAATCACATACTTTATTATAGCTAGAAACATCAATGACGTCAAAACCCTGTAACAAAGCAAGCGGAACAGGGTAGACAATTAGTAACAGGGGCGATAATTCTGTGAGTGATGACGTCACACATTACCATGATGATTACATGTGGATATTGGGTCGTAAGTGTAGGGGTTACTAAGGAAGAGATGGCGGGAACTTCCCTAGCAACCCCCAACCCTACCACACTCCTCCACATGTTATCGTCAAGTTTCTAAGTGTCTGTTCAGAATTATTAAGAAAAGTCGGTTCTAGTTAGAAGTTACAGGCTAAATGGTTGACCTGTCATTGTCTATTTAGAATTTAAGGACTGAATGATTGTAAAGTTTCTAATCAGAAAAATGGTTTTATGTGTCAAACACCTCTTTAGAAAATTGTTCAACACAATTACATGTACAATTAACTATAAGGGTATGCTCGACCACCGAAGTCGTTTTTCTTATCATCTACAATCTGACACTGTTATCACCAACTATTTTGTGTACACACCTATAAAGTCACTGACATCTTCGGTATCTGCTCCATCCTCATCTGATGTACTTGTTTCTGACACGCCTTTAGTGATCTCTCTTTCCTGAAAACACAGCTGATCCAGGTAGTGTACAGAATGTATATGCATGTTATTTCTTCCACAGAAATGGTCGAACTGTGTTTGCGTTTCCACGCCAAGGATTCCCAGTGTCGCTCCATTTTGGAAGTGGACAGCTTTTGTAAAATTACTTATTGCAGCAAACTGAAATACAAAAAAAAATACAATATATTAAGTGTATATCAGAAGATATTTCAACAGAAGCAACAAGATCCTTACGACGACGTCAACCCCTATGAACTCTGACCTATATTGCTGCAATTACATGAATAACCCAACAAGTAGGTGTAACATATATAAGTATGGTTGTCTGTTACGTTTCTCATATTCCTCAATTTAGGGCGGTATGTCAAAAGACTTAGGAAATAGCAGGGTGACCAGCAGCGATCCCCTTTTCAACATTTCCAACTTCTGGAAAACTCCTGAATCGATTTCAATAATTTTTTCAAAAAAAAAAAAAGAAAAAAGAAAATTTCATGGCTAAAGGCGCACCAAAATTGTAAATTATATGGTTCCTTCCCTTGAGGGGCTTTGAGGGGCGGGACCAAAAAGGGAAATGTGAGACCCTGGAGTCTTGAAATTTACAAGTTTGGGAAAACAGCTGAAGGCCTTTTCAGCCATGAAGAGTACTTGATACTACCATACATGTTTTTCAATGTTTACATCTACACATTAGGAAGGGCTGTTGATTTTTGTAATTTTCATTGCAATCTTATCCTGGGACCTCATTGCTTTCGACCGATGTGTTGTGAATTAGACAAGTCTTATCTTTATGATGCATAATGTATGTCGTCGTGTTTTTTTTTTCAGGTTGTTTTTTTTTCGTAACGGGTGAATTATTGTGGCAGATTATTAAGTGTCTGGTTACACTTTTTACCTGTCCTAGCTTTACGTACCAGTACGATTGAAGCCTGGAGGAGAGAGATATGGTAGTATGGCTGATAAAGTTTAGAAATGATATATTGTCGCTGCTATTTTTACGTTATATATAGGCAGTACTAAAGCCGTCACAGACAACCCAGATTCTGGAACAAGATAATATTAAATGAGTGACAATATCTTCATTAACAACTATGCCTATGGCAATTGGATGTTCTTCAATCACGCACCGTATATTATATTACTTCAAAATATTTTTTTGAAATTTTACAGTCGTTTTCAATAAAATTGCATTAAAGTGTTTCCAAACCAAGATACAGTTAAAATCAGCGCCTGCCGTTAGACTATAATCCGCCCTCCCTAGTGATATAAACTTGGATCTAAATCACAGGAGATAGAAGTTCTCCTATAAAATGTTTGCAGTTTAGCTCCAACTGTTGATACTAGTATAATTCTCATAATCCTCAACGCCCATCATTTCCTTCATGTAGATATATAGCTTTAACGTTTGATTATTACTCTGTACCATGTATGTGATTTTAAAATCAGCTGAAGTACATTTAGTATGTGTCGACTTTTCGTTCTCTGTCCCAGAAATGGTACACTTTAACCAGATGTTCCCCCGATCGAGATATTTAGTAAACCAAGCGACCTATACGCTTTGAGTTCCTAACTACAGAACGTAATATGATTACAAAGAATTCCAGTTATTTAAAGTATTCGATTTATCATATTGTGTATTAATAGTTTTTATGGTTTCTTTTCGATTAGCTTTAAACGTGTCTATTTAACTACGTTTGCGATAGCATCGTGTGAGTTGGGATCACCATGGTAGCATTATTTAATATCCCTGATACGCAGCGAGAGAAGGACATACCGCTGAATGGGTGTTTTGTACGGCTTCAGACGATTACCTACATCAGGATCCCTATGTAATTATAAGTTATCATATTACGCAATACATGCTGCTCAGGGAGAGAGAGATAGGCGGACAGACACACAGACGGTGATGTACATTTGTAGTGAAAGAGAAGAGTTCCCGTCATAAGAAAGTGGAGAGGTTTCTCTTGATAGCGCGGAGGGTGTGTGCTAATGTTTCCTTTTTTATGGTTGTCTTAAATTGGTTGTTAAGGATGTACTGACATTATTCAATATAAATTTATTTCTAACACAATACCGTTGAACTTTATCTTTTTATATACCTTGTCATCTATAATTGTACTTAGATATTGTATGGGTTGAAAACGGGCGATTTAACTCTTTCAAGAAATTTCGCTGGTGGACTACATTTTTACACGGCGCAGTTGACGGCGTGGTTCGGTTAATAGCGTCAACAATTTTAACGTTTCTGGTTGCTAAGATACTGCTCTTGAGTATACCTCTGGAAGTCATGGATAGATTTCATCTAAATTTTTTGCATTAATTATCACCACAACTCACAGATTTCAAATTCGTGAATTGCGACTTGGTGACTACTTTCCCAGATTTAAGGACCCGGAAATATATATTTCAGCTGGCTTCTTGATCTTGGAAAATTGAATAAAATAAAGTACAGAAACTCCTGCTTTTTCCATCATGAATCAAAACTCATTATATTTAGGTAAGGAAATGAGGTAGATCTCCAAAAGATATTCACGGCGAAATTTAAAAAGACCCTACTATTTCTTGAAACCTGACAAGCAATATGATGATGATGATTTCTACCATATTGGATCAGACAATGGTCACAGGCTATGAAATTGAAAATGTGACCTGTTTTGTGTGCCGTGACCAGGCTTTCCATGGTCTTGTGGGATCAGCAATTTGCTAAGTAGGGATTATGATTGCCTAGCGGCAATGGAAATGGAAATGTTAATGGAAAATTTCCAGTCATTTTAAATCATTTCATTTTGAAAAAGATCCATCATAAACTGACTGACTGTGACCTACTTCATGTGTTTACTTGAACCTCTTCTAGCAGAAAACACAAACAATAGACAGTTCACTTTAACATTGATTTTGTTAAAAATTTAAGACAGATTTTCCATTTGCTATCCCCCATTTTGAAACCCATTTTTTTTCTAAACCCACACAAATCCGGTGTTTTGAACTGTACGTTGTATATCCTGGTTTAAAAAGAATATATATAACTATAATTTAACAAGGTTTATCACTGCTACGTCTCGAATTAATATCAATTTATGATCTATATTATAAAATTCTACGACAATTTATCGTTATTATAATGTAATGAATTGACTTTTATGATTGACGCGTAGTGGGTGTAAACAAACAAGAATGAAAGATGAAATAGTGCTGTAGTTGTTTACTCATCTGAGAAGTGAAAAAAAAATCCAGTATGATTAAATGAGCTTAACACTGCATAGCAACATCCTTTATTTGACCATTTTCAGGTAGTTAAATTCGTTGTTGGGCTTTATGTGGTTGGATAAAGAAATATTCGAAGTTATGGTTAAATCGAGGGCCCCCTTTGGTTTAATATTTGTAATTTTCACCAAATTGAAAGCTTTTCCTAGATAAAGAAACCTCTAGTATTTGTTTTGGTGTCATAAACATCAGGAAAAGTGGTTCATCTATTCGGAATCCACGAATCTACCTAAGACTTCCGAAGTTGAGAAGACCTTAGCAACGCGAAAACGTTGACGTTGTTGACACTATTAACCGAATCACGTCATTAGCTACGTCATCAAAGAAAGTAGACCACAATAGAAAATTATTCAATTTAAAAAAAAAACGTCATTTTCAGCTAAAAAGCACAATGTAGATAACGAAGTATATAAACACATATATATATATATACACAATGTAGATAAAGATATATATATATAAATTCTATTTCAACCCAAGCATCAGAGCTAGAATACATCCATAAGGATTTATGACGTTCACAGTGAACTGTATTCCATTGACCTTTCGGGGTCACGCTAGAGTTACTTTCGTCATTTTCCTAGTATTTGGGGCCCAATCGTGGAGATTGACGTCAATAACAGACGCAGTTTACAGGCTACAATTAATCATTGTCAAGATGAATGCAGTCTTGGTGAACATGAAATGGCGATCAATAGTACTAAAATTACAATCATATCGACAGATAATGAGTTTCAACTGAAAACCGTTCAAAAGCTAACATCTAGATATAATATGATAATCATCGAGTATGTGTCAAGTTATCGAGGCCCCCCCCCCCCCCCTCCCACTTTAATTTATTTATTAGTCGGGCTCCCTGAAAGTCACAATCATGTAAATGATTTTTGTCTAGTTGTAATGTGCGTTATCTGGGGCGACATGTAACACGTTGACGTAAAGTAGGTCAGCACGATGCCAAAATGACGTCATATCATTGTTTCTTAATCAAGAATTCATACATATACCCTTGTAAATAATAATTATATATTATAATAATAATCATAATCCCGACTGGCACTGAGATAGTGAGATGTCACCAATCTATGGTTGCTGATTCGGGACATCGTAATATCGCTTCGTTAAATGGGAAGCGAGATTGCGATATTACGATATAACGATGCGATACTACGATAGCACGATGCGATATCGTGGACTCGCATCGCGATATCCTGGTGTCGCATCGCGCTGTCGTGGTATCGCATCGTGCTATCGTGATATCGCATCGTGGTATCGTGGTATCGCAATATCGCTTCCCATTAAACGAAGCGATATTACGATGTCCCGAATCAGCCACCATACCAATCAACTTAAATTATAATTTATGTTATACGGTATACTGTTTCTGTGTAAGATTACAAGATGGCATACCTAAATATTTCACACTTGTGTTGTCTTGACTCTGGAAGAAGCATTTGTTGATATTTTTACGCTTCACTAATAATAAGAGTATGCGGTCTTGTCACTATTGTCATTCAATGTAATTACGGGATATCAGCATGGTTTTGAAAGTGTATAATGTTACATAATATATTTATTAGCAAAAGTAATTTTAAAAAAAATCATTATTTGCTTTCATAACTATTTAGTTGTCGTTATTAATGTTATTAGTAACAGCCAAACAAGTCGTGTTACTTACTGCTTCTAGTACAATATGATTGTTAGTGTTATAAGATAAATTCTTTCAATGATTTATGAAAATCTGTAGTGATCAGGTGTAAAATAAGCAAAGCCAAACGATATGTAGACATCTCCAATACGTGATACTCTTGGATACATGAACAGCAAATGAAGAAGAGTTCGTAAGCATTTGTACTAAATCAAATGATATCAAATACATCTATGTATTTTTGGAATATCTAATGATATATTATACATACAAGTAATTGGTAACCAAAAAAACGACTTCTTCAAAGCAGAAAACATTTTTTTTTTTTTTTTTTGTTTTTTTTGTTTTTTTTTATCGTGCTGAACAGCTTAGATTTTTAGACATTACTAAGTGCATTATCAGTATCAGACAGATAATCAAATATAAAGTACTCACACGAAAAGTATGGTTAACAGTCAAACACGCCAGGTTGACGTCGATACAGTTCAACGTTATGTCATCACAACGTGTGCACCAGTCGAGCGCTGGAAAGCAGGAACCGGTCAGGGCGTCCCCTACCCAGGATAAGATCACCAACATTTCGAGGTACATCTCGCCGGTCATGCGTGCCACTTTGCTCTATCCACGCTCCATTTGTTTTTAAAATGGAAAGCTTCTTATCGTTCGTCAAGAAAACATTTTCTCCTGCTGTGCTTTATGAGACGGTAACAACTAGCTCATTGATTCATTCAGTGTTGAGGCCGTGTGTCCAACAACTGGGGGTTTCTCCGGCACATGGTCTGTACAGAGTGTTCATTGAGAAAATACCTACAATAAAAATCCGTTCCAATGACTATCCTGTTTCTCCCTTATCGTACACATTTCCGTCATCGGCAGCGATAATGTAAACCAAGTCACTTCGAACGGCACGCTAAGCTGTAAACACTCCACGGTACGAGGAAAGATGGGTGGCAATGTAATAGTTTGTTTTGAATATAGAGTTTTGCCCATAGATTAAAGTTAAATAACTGATCTATTTCAGATGTAATAAATAGTTTATTCCAAACAACATAAACACTGCTATCTCCCAGCCTGCGTAAGATTTTGGACATTCGAGTCGGCATTTCTCACGTATTAACGTTTTATCTAGACGTTTCAGTATGGGAAGTGTTGTGAACGAACAGTACAAGATACAGTAGTATAGTAGTAGTAATAATAATAGTTGTTGTATATATAGTATTAGTAGTAAGGGTGCATAAGTCTTGGTAGCCTATTTTCTGTCTTTGAAACACCGACCCAGGTTTCCATACCGACAGTATACAAAAACAAATCAATATGAATGTACAGAAACATTTGCGTTTTTCTCAATTTTAAAAATTTTATTTCAATTTTCAATTTTGACTATCACATAGAGTGATATTGAATGTGTAGACAAACGTATTGTTTCCTGATGATGAAATATACAGAAATGCATGTACAGAATTAACCCAATGAGTATTATTTAACTAAAAGTTTTAACTACATATCACCTCGTAATCCACAGATGATAGAAAATTGTCGATACGATATATTCTCAACTGAAACCATGTGTTAATTCTCTGGAGGTGTATCTTCACTTGTTCTATGACAGTGTTAAACGAAGCGTAGCCGAATTGACTGCAGTACACTGCATTACCATTGTGTGTAATTTTGTCTACAATATTTTAACCATCTCGTCACACTATTTTCGACCTTAGTGTACTTATGTTTATAGTAAAGCCGAAAAAGTCGGTCGATTCCTTGCCATCTCGTACACTACCTACAGCAGTGGTAGTGCGCTCCACACTGGTAATTTGTATGATGAAGATGACCGTGTATGCATGGAAACGTTACCCTCTAATCTTCTACTGGTTGTGTTTTGATAACTTCTATTCTATTGCCATTCCCAAACTAAAGATAATGTTGCAAAATAACTGCTTAGCTTATTATGATATCTACAACAACATCAACTTTTGGATAGCTCAGTTAGCTGTCTTCTCTTTTTAGTTACCTAGATATATTCAGCAATCTCTGATATTTTCTTTTTGGGAGCAGAAAATTACGGAGCCCTCTTTGGGACACATGTAAATATTATCTGTGTCATGCGCACTAATCATTTTCCCGTGGGCACGAGTATTATCTAGGGAGCACGAGTTATTATCTGGTGAGCACGAGTTATCATCTAGTGAGAACGAGTTATTATCTGGTGAGCACGAGTTATCATCTACTGGGCACGATTTATTATCTGGCGAGCACGAGTTATCATCTAGTGAGCACGAGTTATTATCTGGTGAGCACCAGTTATTATCTATTGAGCACGAGTTTTCATCTAGTGAGCACGAGTTATTATCTTGTGAGCACGAGTTAGCATCTACTGGGCACGATTTATTATCTGGCGAGCACGAGTTATCATCTAGTGAGCACGAGTTTTCATCTGGTGAGCACGAGTTATTATCTAGTGAGCACGAGTTATCATTTAGTGAGCACGAGTTATTATCTTGTGAACACGAGTTAGCATCTACTGGGCACGACTTATTATCTGGCGAGCATGAGTTATCATCTAGTGAGCACGAGTTTTCATCTGGTGAGCACGAGTTATTATCTAGTGAGCACGAGTTATCATTTAGTGAGCACGAGTTATTATCTAGTGAGCACAAGTTATCATCTACTGGGCACGATTTATTATCTGGCGAGCACGAGTTATCATCTAGTGAGCACGAGTTTTCATCTAGTGAGCACGAGTAATTATCTTGTGAGCACGAGTTAGCATCTACTGGGCACGATTTATTATCTGGCGAGCACGAGTTATCATCTAGTGAGCACGAGTTTTCATCTGGTGAGCACGAGTTATTATCTAGTGAGCACGAGTTATCATCTAGTGAGCACGAGTTTTCATCTAGTGAGCACGAGTTATTATCTTGTGAGCACGAGTTAGCATCTACTGGGCACGATTTATTATCTGGCGAGCACGAGTTATCATCTAGTGAGCACGAGTTATCATTTAGTGAGCACGAGTTATTATCTAGTGAGCACAAGTTATCATCTAGTGAGCACGAGTTTTCATCTAGTGAGCACGATTTAAGTTATCATCTAGTGAGCACGAGTTTTCATCTAGTGAGCACGAGTTATTATCTTAGTGAGCACGAGTTATCATCTACTGGGCACGAGTTATTATCTGGCACAAGTTATCAGCATGGGCAGATTTATTTTCATATAGTGAGCACGAGTTTTCATCTGGTGAGCACGAGTTATTATCTAGTGAGCACGAGTTATCATTTAGTGAGCACGAGTTATTATCTAGTGAGCACAAGTTATCATCTCCTGGGCACGATTTATTATCTGGCGAGCACGAGTTATCATCTAGTGAGCACGAGTTTTCATCTAGTGAGCACGAGTTATTATCTTGTGATCACGAGTAAGCATCTGGCGAGAACGAATTATTATCTAGTGAGCATGAGTTATCATCAACTGAGCACCAGTTATTATCTAGTGAGCACGAGTTATTATCTGGTGAGCACGAGTTATTATCTAGTGAGCACGAGTTATCATTTAGTGAGCACGAGTTATTATCTAGTGAGCACAAGTTATCATCTACTGGGCACGATTTATTATCTGGCGAGCACGAGTTATCATCTAGTGAGCACGAGTTTTCATCTAGTGAGCACGAGTTTTCATCTGGTGAGCACGAGTTATTATCTAGTGAGCACGAGTTATCATTTAGTGAGCACGAGTTATTATCTAGTGAGCACAAGTTATCATCTAGTGAGCACGAGTTTTCATCTAGTGAGCACGAGTTATTATCTTGTGAGCACGAGTTAGCATCTACTGGGCACGATTTATTATCTGGCGAGCACGAGTTTTCATCTGGTGAGCACGAGTTATTATCTAGTGAGCACGAGTTATCATTTAGTGAGCACGAGTTATTATCTAGTGAGCACAAGTTATCATCTACTGGGCACGATTTATTATCTGGCGAGCACGAGTTATCATCTAGTGAGCACGAGTTTTCATCTAGTGAGCACGAGTTATTATCTTGTGATCACGAGTAAGCATCTGGCGAGAACGAATTATTATCTAGTGAGCATGAGTTATCATCAACTGAGCACCAGTTATTATCTAGTGAGCACGAGTTATTATCTAGTGAGCACGAGTTATTATCTAGTGAGCACGAGTTATCATTTAGTGAGCACGAGTTATTATCTAGTGAGCACAAGTTATCATCTACTGGGCACGATTTATTATCTGGCGAGCACGAGTTATCATCTAGTGAGCACGAGTTTTCATCTAGTGGGCACGAGTTATTATCTTGTGAGCACGAGTTAGCATCTACTGGGCACGATTTAGTATCTGGCGAGCACGAGTTATCATCTAGTGAGCACGAGTTTTCATCTGGTGAGCACGAGTTATTATCTAGTGAGCACGAGTTATCATCTAGTGAGCACGAGTTTTCATCTAGTGAGCACGAGTTATTATCTTGTGAGCACGAGTTAGCATCTACTGGGCACGATTTATTATCTGGCGAGCACGAGTTATCATCTAGTGAGCACGAGTTTTCATCTGGTGAGCACGAGTTATTATCTAGTGAGCACGAATTATCATTTAGTGAGCACGAGTTATTATCTAGTGAGCACAAGTTATCATCTAGTGAGCACGAGTTTTCATCTGGTGAGCACGAGTTATTATCTTGTGAGCACGAGTTAGCATCTACTGGGCACGATTTATTATCTGGCGAGCATGAGTTTTCATCTAGTGAGCACGAGTTTTCATCTGGTGAGCACGAGTTATTATCTAGTGAGCACGAGTTATCATTTAGTGAGCACGAGTTATTATCTAGTGAGCACAAGTTATCATCTACTGGGCACGATTTATTATCTGGCGAGCACGAGTTATCATCTAGTGAGCACGAGTTTTCATCTAGTGAGCACGAGTTATTATCTTGTGATCACGAGTAAGCATCTGGCGAGAACGAATTATTATCTAGTGAGCATGAGTTATCATCAACTGAGCACCAGTTATTATCTAGTGAGCACGAGTTATTATCTGGTGAGCACGAGTTATTATCTAGTGAGCACGAGTTATCATTTAGTGAGCACGAGTTATTATCTAGTGAGCACAAGTTATCATCTACTGGGCACGATTTATTATCTGGCGAGCACGAGTTATCATCTAGTGAGCACGAGTTTTCATCTAGTGGGCACGAGTTATTATCTTGTGAGCACGAGTTAGCATCTACTGGGCACGATTTATTATCTGGCGAGCACGAGTTATCATCTAGTGAGCACGAGTTTTAATCTGGTGAGCACGAGTTATTATCTAGTGAGCACGAGTTATCATTTAGTGAGCACGAGTTATTATCTTGTGAGCACGAGTTAGCATCTGGCGAGAACGAATTATTATCTAGTGAGCATGAGTTATCATCAACTGAGCACCAGTTATCATCTAGTGAGCACGAGTTATTATCTGGTGAGCACGGGTTATCATCTAGTGAGCACGAGCTATCATCTAGTGAGCACGAGTTATTATCTAGTGAGCACGAGTTATCATCTAGTGAGAACGAGGTATCATCTAGTGAGCACGAGTTATTAAATGGTGAGCACGAGTTATCATCTGCTGAATTACACGACCTGGGAAGGCGTCTGTAGGATGAAACACGGGACACAAATTCTTTTCGCATGGTCCATAATCCATTATAATCCATTTACATATGGACAGCGGGTAAGGAATAGGTGCCAAGTCCCTGTGAGATTTAAAGCTTACAAATGTAAACATAGTCTGGTAACCGGTGGTTTTCAATGAGATTTTGAAAAAAAAAAGATTAACGGTATGATCGTTGATTTGAAACCAACTCTTACGAGATTTTAACGAGATTTTCTCACAAAGAACACGTTGATTGAATGTAGGCCATCGTCATAAAAAGACATCTATTTTCGGTTTTCTAATGCGAATGAATCAATAAAGCGAAGACATTAAATGCAATGAGTTTATAACTCCACATCCAACTTTTCATACATCTATTACAGGTAGCAAACATTTTTGTCTTATCATTTTCCCAATGTCGATTAGAGGACTAACTAATTAGTCCTAAGGAACAATAATTTTCTATCAAAGGCAATGGTTCGGGAAAGGGGACGGACCTTCCGGGATACCTGGTATGCTTTTTCCTGTATCGGTATTCACTGTATTGATAACAATATATTTCTATAAAAAATGGGAACTACAAATCACTTTTTTTATAATATTTTCTAATATTTGGTATACCTCTGTCATATTACTGCGAGATCTCTTTGTGCTAGTGTTAGTTAAAGTTTCTGTAATCTTTCGGATAGATTCCAAACATCAAACTTTTAGATACTGACAAAAAAAAACAAAAACTGAAACCCTAAACAAGTCTGACATAGGCTCACTATACATCATACAAGACCCTACCTCTTCTCTGTCCCATCCCTCACCCAATAGAAACATTACTTTTACTCAAACCCCGGGATAAAAACGAATGTATTTAATAATATATAGGATATGATAGACAAATTAAATTCTCACTATTTCTACTCAAAATGTAACAAGTTGAAATTAAAACATTACTCTTCCCAAACACATAGCCTAAAACATAACCCATTCATCCTACCAGTGTCTACCGTTTCTACGTGTTTTTTTTTTAGATGTTGACACCAGACTTTATTAGCAAATTCAATGTGATGGCTAACCAAATATGTATATATATACAACAACTTAAAGTTCTCCAAGTTCGTATAATTTGTAGCCAATTTCCGTCATAGACGGAACTGCCATTTTTGGAATAAGCTGTATTCACGTTCTCACATATATGTTTATTACATTACTTTTTTCTAAGTTTTCGAGTTCTAATACTTCTACATTTTCCTTGAGGTGTAATTAATTTGATAAACATCTGAGTGTCACGCGCATTATTTTTCATTTGTCTATGTGAAAATGGAGTTGTCAGACTTCTGACCATCTTTGCAGGGAAAATATGTCTGCCTTAATCGCTTTAAAAACTTCGTATCGTCCGCGAATTGGTATACAGTCATTCCAGGACTTGAGTCTTCAGACAGATGTATATAAAGCAAACGTGTTTCTATAATCATTTCTACTATTCCGACCTTTCTCCATACACGAATGCCCTTTGTTTCCTTTTCGCTTAAAAGTATACCAACCGTTTAGATAATTATTGTTATTAATCTATTTTATCAGTTTATTTTACTCGTCTTTTTATTTTTGTAAACTCCTATGTATTCCAATAGTGTTAAAATTGATCCGGAAACTTTTTTCCGACGCGAAAATTAGTCATAAGATTCTACTTCCTGTGGAAAAAAATGGACGTCTGTGATGAACTATAAAAATGCCTTTGGTATCAGCTAAATTTTCGGATTCTTCGTGGTATTTGGTACTTCAAAGCATATAATTCATAATGATATTATAATGTGTACTGTAAGTATATGAAGTGACGGTCTTTTATAATATTTTCTAGAGAATATCGATGTTAATTCGACTTGTTTGTTACTCAGATTTGTTGTTTTATTTGGGTTTAATTTTTTTGCTTGTCGGAGAAATCGGGATTGTTGCTTACTTTTCCTTGATAGTTACTTGATGCTCTCATGATTTGGTTATTTCACGTATATCGATTTCGATAATTTTACTTAAAAGCAAACCTGAACGTTTGCTGCGGATGCATGGAGGTCCAAATTCTCAGAAAATGTTGGCTATAGAACGTCGCGATCGGAAATGATAATGAATTCAAATATACAGTGATGTGCTAAGATTGATGCAACTTGTTCTTTCGGCGTCATCAATCTCAGTGTTGGATATTCATAACAAAATCGCTGATAAATTACAAAGTTGATGTCTATCTTACCTGAAATGTTCAGTATTTAATGATGTGACCCTTACAATTAACCACGGTCGGGAAATTGTTTTGTAGAGAACCTGTATGTAAGGCAATGCCGTTGACAACCAGATCTCAAAGATCACCAGTTCCCGGCATGTTTTGATTACGTACTCGGTTCTCTTGAGACATATTTTAAGAATAAGCCACACATTTTCTATGATGTTGATGTCAAGGGATTAATGGCTAAAACCATTCTGTGAAATTATCTCTGGCATTAGTTCAGCCAAGTTAGACAATAATATACAAAATGTGAGACCATTTTCATGATTGAATGTGTTTTACTGTGAGTAATGTCAAAAGTTGCATAAATTTTGGCATTTCACTGTACGTATGTAGACTACAATAACATGATAAACTCCCCTGAGAAAAGACTTGTATGTTTTGCGGTTTAATTGAATCAGTACTTAGTAAAGTAAATGTATGACATATACATGGGCACAAATGTCTGAGGTGAGCTGCAGATACTTGAAAAGCTGTAAAAGAATTAAAGTCATAGGAATTGTGAAACAGGGCTTCTTACTCATTTTGCTGTACAGGTGAATAGTAATTTTTCTAAAGAAGGTGTTCATAAATGTAAAAGACTCTTGCCGAAGTCCCTGGTTTGATTCCTGGTCGCTGCACTCAGCAGGAACATGTATTTTCATGTTCTTTCAAAATGGCACCCAACATAATACCACGGGTTGTGGAGTATACATACTGTAAAAGGAACAGATTTGTGTGGCTTGTACATAGTGTTTAATATGATCTCTGACACACAGCAGATGGAGCATGCTTCTTAGACTCAGTAGGTACATCCAGTTGATTATCATGCCAAAGACCTGGATTAAATTCCTGGTTGAGACACTTGAATGTATATTATCTTTTGTTTCACAAGGATGCCCAACAAAATCTCGTGTTGTGGTATTAGGATTCTCAGAAAGAGGTTCAGTGAATTTCACATGTTGTGGTATAAGGATTCTTGGGTTGAGATTTAGGAAATCTTAAGAAAAAGAGGGGGAGTGTAAAAGAAGCAGATTTGTGTGGTTTCTATATTGTGTTAAATATGGTCTCAGCTGATGGAACATATATGCTTCTTGATAGAGCCTATTGATTAAATATACTGGAGACCGGAGTTTGATTCCTGGTCAGACCACTCAACAGGAACATGTATTGTACATGCTCTTTCACATCAGTAACTACATAATTATTTTTCAACCTATGTGTTAAAGATGTAGAAAAGATTGTATAAACAGAATGCAGCAAGGCATGATATCATTCATAAAAACAATCGTAGGAAATGAATCAGTGGGACAACACATAAAAGTTTGCATCATATTAAACATGGAACGAAAAGTATCATGGCAAAGAATATTTGGATAGAAAAGTAATTAAGATTAATGAAAAAGCATCAAATTTTCACAAAATGAAAAAAAAGTATTTCAGATCATGTCAGTTATTTCTATAAACTAAATGAAGATACAGTGTGTTCCCTTTTGGATACTTCTACCAGCTGTTGAACTTGGCATACCTTTCTACGTTCTATTTAGTATTTATTGACACGTGTGTTGCTGACAAATAATCAGAGCTTGAAATGAAAGGTATCTATTTGTGAAATATCAAGAATTATATTCAAACACTTTGTAGAACATTTTTGAAATATTTCAGTTGGTAATGTCATTAGAATAGAAGTTCTTACAACACAACCATCAGAAGATTTCATTATGACCTCTGGATGAATACACTGTCACCTTTATCAAACAAATGACCAGTGTGAAGTTCACAAGTCCTGACATATGTAGTATTTGAGATGGTGAGAAATTGACAAACTTCTTTGGCTTTACTATAATCAATTATAGTACATTGTTACCATTTTTTCCCTATGATCTTTTTACCATCTTGTCATCGTCTGATTATGAATAATTTATGGCTATTTTATGTTTTATTTACTTCTGCATATTGTTTTTATTTACATGTAGAGATACAGGACATTCTTCATGAGCTATCGAGAAAAACAACTGGTTTGTTCCTGTCAAAACTGAAATCTGGAGCCTGAAATATTGGACTTGCTTCCAAGACATTTAATTGGAATAATGGATCGTCCACCTTCCCCAGCCAGATTGGCTTACACCTCTGACAAACATCCCCGTCACACCCTTGATTCTATCAATGTTCTCCGCAAACACAGAGAACTGTGTGATGTTGTTCTTATTGTATCACAAAGGAAAATATTTGCTCACCGTGTCATCTTGTCAGCATGTAGTCCTTACTTTCATGCTATGTTTACTGGTGAGTTAGCAGAAAGTCGTCAGACAGAGGTGACTATCCGGGATATTGATGAGAGTGCTATGGAGTTGTTGGTTGATTTTTGTTACACGTCAAATATTACAGTAGAAGAGAGCAATGTCCAGACTCTGTTACCTGCAGCCTGTCTGCTTCAGCTGGCTGAAATCCAGGAAGTGTGCTGTGAATTTCTCAAGCGACAATTAGATCCATCTAACTGTCTTGGTATCCGTGCCTTTGCTGATACACATGCATGCAGGGACTTATTACGAATTGCAGATAAATTCACACAACATAATTTTCAAGAGGTTTGTATGTCCAAAACTCTTTATTGAATGCTTTTGAAGAAGGTTGAAGTAAACTTAAAAAGACAATTTGGTGAAATCTGGTTTTTTATAGTGGGCAGAAATGGATATAAGTGCTTTGAATACATTTGTCTTAGTTAAAATAAATCAAATCCAGCAAACTAATTCAGGTGAGTGATACAGGCCTTATGGGCCTCTTGTTACAAAGTCCTCCTGAAAGAATATTTTGACATTGGTCATGTAAAGTTCAGATCAAAATATTGACATCAGCAACTTTTTAGCTCACCTAGCCCAAAGGGCCAGGTGAGCTGTAGGAATACTGCATTGTGCTTTTTACTTCATATTGCAATTGTTCTTGAGTGACTTAAGTGAATTTTAATCAAATTTGGTCTGAAGCATCCTTGGAGGGGAAAGGAAAAAAATTATGTTATTGATGGGTCTGCCACGACCCCCTTGTGGCCTTAGGGGCAGAGTCCAATAGGGGAAAATCAATCAGTTTCTTTAAAATCTATCTTGTTTGTCAGGAATTGTAGGATATTGTCCAAAATTGGTCTGTAGCATGCTTCAATGAAGTGAAATCAGTCTTGTATAAAGCACAGGTTTCAGACTCCTGGGGTCAAATGGGCGGGGCCCAGCAGGGAAAATCTAACCCCCAAGTAGATTTAGTTAATTTTCATATTATTGCTTTGCACTGTCAGCAATTCATTTGGGTCTTTCATATCATCATTTGTGTAATTACATGATAAATTGTGCTTTCAGGTGATGGAGAGTGAGGAGTTCTTACTTCTGCCAGTAAATCAGTTGGTGGATATCATCTCCAGTGATGAGCTAAATGTGCGTAGTGAGGAGCAGGTGTACAGTGCTGTTATGGCCTGGGTCAAGTACAATATCCAGGACCGACGCACACACCTTCCAAATGTAAGCAAAAATCATAAATTATCTAAATTACAAAATATTCCCCCTAAGCATCTTTGTATTTTATTTACACTTTGTACATACAATTGACCATTGCTGACCACCGAGATTTTTAGGTCATCTTCATTTCTATGACATATTACAAGAAGCATTGTGACTCAGGTGACCATTAAGACCCATGGGGCTCTTCTCTGACACATGATGTATGTGTTATTTATTCAGACTTATCTGTTAAGGGTAACAATTCTGCTGAAAAATATATACAAAATCTTCCATTGACCATTCAGTTTTCTCATAAACTGGGAAAACTCAATTAAGCATATTGTCTGTAACGTTGTAAAGCAGTGAATGTACAAGTACATTATAGCTTTTCATGAAGTCTCAGTATATTGGAGTCATTGACTTGTAAAACTAAATACGTTTAGTTAATGTTCAGTATTCAAATAAATTTTCTTAACCATTGTTCCCATACTTAATATGAACAATTTCATTTGTGTGGGCCTCAGTATTTTTCAAAAAGCTGAGTCACAATACAGGAATAACACATAGTACATTTACGATAATGCTTGTTGCAGGTTGTTCAACATGTACGGCTACCATTGATGAGCCCAAAGTTCCTTGTTGGTACAGTTGGCTCTGATCTTCTTATCAAAAGTGATGACTCCTGCAGAGATTTATTGGATGAAGCCAAGAATTATCTCCTCCTGCCCCAGGAACGTCCCTTGATGCAAGGCCCACGTACAAGACCAAGGAAACCAATCAGATGTGGAGAAGTGTTGTTTGCTGGTATGCTATTTTTGTACCAAAAGCAACCAATTATCAAGTTTATTTTCACTGAATTTGAGCATATTATTAAATAATTATAAATGATCTTTTTTTTTGTTAAAGAGCTTCAACTTAAACTATGAAGAAATTCTTCATAAAAGTTTGTAAATAGCAAGAGACTGTTGCAAATAATTTTGTTTAATTAAAACTCATTCTGTACTATGTATTTTATCTGCAGAACAGAAATGGCTACGGTCTATAATGTAATACATGTATTGACTGATGTTTTATTTGTTAAGTTGGAGGATGGTGTAGTGGGGATGCCATCTCAAGTGTAGAGCGATATGACCCTCAGACAAATGAATGGAGGATGGTGGCCCCTATGAGTAAGCGCCGCTGTGGTGTGGGCGTTGCTGTCCTTAATGACCTCCTGTATGCTGTAGGGGGTCATGATGGTCAGTCTTATCTCAACAGCATTGAAAGGTGAGTAACTGAAACAGATGTTGTTGTCTTGTCTTAGATATAGTTCTGAAACCTATCATATTTATATAAGTATTAATTAATCACTAGCCCAGTACAGAGTGATGGTTCAGTAGGTCATATGATATGGTCACCTGCCCAACCACAAGTTAGTGTCCAGGTAATAGATCCAGTTTCACACAACACCAAGTGGTTGCTCAATTCTTTCGCAATAACTGTGGTTGAATGTGATTTAACATAAGTTGTTTCACAATTATTGTAAAATAAAATTTGAAGTTAAAATACTTTACAAGCCTAAATGAAAATAATGTTTTCAAGTGAGTTATTATTGTATAAAATATGATCTCCTACCAAACTGATGTATGTATTTCTTTGTATACAATTGAGTTCTCGTCGGTTCTGACCATTTGAGTATAATATAATCAACTTATCTAATTATGTCTATTAGCTTTGTGGCCAAACAAACCAGTGACATGTAACATGAGTAATATTATGTAGCAGACATTTAAAGTCTGATATCTGTGGTGTGTTTTTCCAGGTTTGATCCACAGACCAACCAGTGGAGTGGGGATGTGGCTCCTACCAGTTCCTGTCGCACAAGTGTAGGAGTGGCTGTGCTTGACAGCTACATGTATGCAGTTGGAGGACAAGATGGCGTCTCCTGTCTCAACTTTGTTGAAAGGTTCAGATTTATTTTCTGTTCGCTCTCATCAACTTGATAAAACTCCTGACATTTGTATTAAGATATTTCCCATTTTATTTAATTTCTATTAACTTTATTGTTAAAAATCTGGTTTGATAGCGATTTAGTCAATAATAAAATGAAATGAATGCAATAAGGTTCTAATCATTTCACTTAAATTTTCTCACATAATTCATGAATACTGTATACACACATACAAAGTTCCAGTCATAGCTTATCACTTTTTTTTTGTGTTTATTTAATATTGCATACATTGCAATTTAAGTGTAATGTAATTGTTTTGTTTTCTAGGGCAATATATTATTTGTGTGGTAATTATCAATGAGCCGATCTGTTTGATTTTTTAAAACTTTTAATTTTTTGAGTGAGTCGACCTAGAAAGGTATATGTTCATTTATACTTTCTCAGATTTATAAATAGTTGAAACATTCTTTCAGATATGTAGAATTTTTATGAGGCCTTAGAAGAAAAAAGAATTAGTTTTTAAATATTGATATGAAAGACATTGTTTTATTACAGATATGATCCTCAGCTTAACAAGTGGACAAAAGTAGCATCCATGAGTACACGACGACTGGGTGTAGGTGTGGCTGTTTTAGGAGGCTACCTGTATGCTGTAGGAGGTAGTGATGGTACCTGTCCATTAAACACAGGTATGAACTGTAATTGTACATCTTCCTTGGTAACTATGGTTAGGGGCAATAAAATTGTCATCTGCATAAGTGAGAATGTAACATCCTACTGGGTGATTACAGTTGTGGGCTTAAAATTGTTGTCAGCATTTATCAGAATATTACAGCATACTGGGTCATTAGGGCCCCACGTGAATGTTGCAAAAATTGTTTGCTTTGGATTGCTTTTAAGGTCGCAGGGTCAATGGTCACTGTAGTTATAAGATAGAGTCAAGTTTCTGTGAGATCACTCGAGTTTGCTTTGTCCAATCTAAATCAAACTTGCTTGCTTGGGATATTGTATTGTATTTATTAGTATTTTGGTTTTTTTTAGTAACAGTTTTTCTTGACTTTTATGGCTGAGTGTACTTAAGGTCTCGCCAGTAATCTGTTTATCTGTGTTGAAGGAAGGGTTAGGGGGAGAGGGGATTTCAGGCCACATGGCAGGGCCCTTTCTGACCTGTCAGTGTTCTAGTTACAGTTACAATTTTAAATTGTCACCACATATATCACTGTGTAATTATAATTCCAGGTTAGGAAATTATCATACACATATATCACATTACAACCTAGTGTATAATTATAATTCCAGGTTAGGAAATTGTCATACGCATATATCACATTACAACCTAGTGTGTAATTATAATTCCAGGTTACGAAATTGTCATACGCATATATCACATTACAACCTAGTGTGTAATTATAATTCCAGGTTACAAAATTATCATACGCATAAATGAAAATGGTACAGCCTTGTGGGTAATTACAGTTACAGGCTATAGAATTGTTAGGAGCATGTATCAGAATGCTACAATCTACTTGATGCAAGATATTCTATCTACTTTTATCAAATCTGATTTAAAGAAAAGTTGTTAACAGAATTATGGCTCTTTTGTAGTTGAACGATACGACCCCAGAACTAACCGCTGGATGCCAATGTCACCAATGGGTACACGTAGGAAACACCTCGGGGTATCAGTATATAATAATATGATATACGCTGTAGGCGGTCGGGATGACACAACAGAGCTCAGTAGTGCAGAACGCTACAATCCGCAGACAAATACCTGGCAACCAGTTGTTGCTATGACTTCTCGGAGGAGTGGGGTAAGTGTTCCTGGAACCCAGAGTTTTCCATAATTTTGTTAGTAGTAGACTGTGTAGTGAAATTAGGGGGCTGGCCTGCCGTGTACGTGTAGTCGTGTACGGAACATTATTACGGAACCGGATTGGTGTAGGCGGCCAAATGATCAAAGTTGCCGGTCAAATTGGCCGGCGACCGGCTCTTATGGAAAACCCTGCTGGAACCATTATAGAAAGATTCTGAAACATAAAACTAACACCCTTACTTAATTATGTGATTACAAAAACATGTTCTTGTTACTTGCTGAAGACAATATCATAGAAAAAAAGTGTACTATACATACTCTTTATATTTTAATACATTTGTCTTGTGTTATTGTATATTTTAACTGACATTTAGAATGTTTTGAGACATCTCCTATCCTGGTCATGTCTTTAGTTTAAACAATATTTTATTCACTAATCAGCAATTTGACAGCTACAGATTGTTTTATGGGATGGAAAAACAAACTTAGTGCTGATATTAATTCCTTTCCCTTGTCTTTGTTATCGTTATGAATTAAGTTTTAGATTTAAGATTAAAGTTTTTGTTGTTTCTTTGTTATGTTCACAGGTTGGTTTGGCTGTAGTTAATGGCCAGTTGATGGCTATTGGTGGATTTGATGGCACAACCTACCTAAAGACAATAGAAGTGTATGACCCTGAACAGAACTGTTGGAAATTGTGTGGAGGCATGAATTATCGTCGGTTAGGAGGTGGGGTTGGCGTGGTGAGAATGCCACAACATGAACCCCACCTATGGTGACACCCAAAGACAGATGATTATCCTACCTAGTGCAATGTCGTGTGATCATGTGATCAAATATAGCCAATATGTCATATGCTGCAAAATGACGACATATATTTCTTAGCAGTATAATCAGTGGTATGTGGTGCATTGTCATTACACTGGGTCACATGGAACTCAGTGTAGTGATATTTCTAACTAAGGCACTGGCCTGTGTTACCAATGTGTTAAACTATTTCAGTGTTTCTGAGGAGGAAATCATAAGGTGCTTAATACACTATAAACAGGAAAATTGCACATTCTGAGGTGAAAATTTTAATTTTGAACTACAACTGTATGTCTCCAAATTATTTAATTTTATGAGGTAAGAACTGTGTTTTTAGTTGTTGCAGAGAGAGAGAGGTGTTTTGGAGTTTAAACAAAGATCTTATAGTTCATCATATAACTACCCTGTTATCACACTGGAAACATTTATCACTAGACTACCCCGTTATCACACTGGAAACACCCATTACCTGAATGTTTGTTAGTGATGACTCATGCATTTTAACCTATGGAGCTGTGATTGGCTCAGAATTCCATTCTTTCTGTTGTGACATCTAGGCTTATGCTATCTTACCTATTGTGTCTTACCCAAAGAATGAGATCTGGAGGTAGAATATCACCAATCAGATTTTGTATCTGCCTAATGAAGCGCTGTTTGATTGAATGCCTGCAATAGTGTCTACATTATGTGATCATTTAAGTTTTATAGAAGTCTTCTTTAATTTTTCAACTATTGCGATCACCTTCATACAGTATTGTGCATCCGTAAACTTTTCAACATTTTCAACTTCTTCTCAAAATCTCCTGAACCAACTCCAGTGAAGTGTTGTAGAAACCTTCCCTGGCTTAAGATGAAACAGAAAAGTGAATTATGTAGTCCCTAACCCGTGGGGCCTGAGGGGTGGACCAAAAGGGGTCAAATTTACTTGAATTTCAAAAGTCTTCTTCTCAACATCCAGGTATGGCAGAATCAAATGCTCTTCACTGCTTAAGTGTCTTAATTGTTAATTTCATTGCCCCAGGGACTCAAATTTTACTGTGGAGAGGGGGTAAAGTTAACTATAGTTCATATAAGAAAACTAGATTTTTCAGCATAATTTGTAAAATTCCCAATGGAAATTTTTCAAACTTGGTTAGAATTATGAGTGAAGATTGAAGGCTAGATTGTATGAATAGATTGATCCTGACTGACCCCCAGGTGCTATTAGGCAGGGTCAAAGGGGTGAGATTGACTCAGATTTCAAAAATCTTCTTCTCAACACCCAGGTATGGTCAAACCAAATGTTTCTTCTATGATGGAAATGTCTTAAGGTGCTTAATTACAAAAATGACTCTCATATTACCTCCTGGAGAGGAGAGTTTAACTTTACTATAATTTTTACAGAAAAATACCATTCATAAGTAACTCCAGGACATGATGTGCTTTATAGGAAAAGTTTAACTTTAAAAGGCATGTTAATGAACAGTAGCCTGTTCACCCTATTGAAGGCAATTCTTTGACAGCAAACATATGGGACAACAGATAAATATATTTTACAATAAACAAGATTGATTGTGAGAGCAGTTATTTGCATCCTCAGTTGTTTGTGCTGGTGTTGGAAGGAGACTAAATGCATGACTTGTAAATTCATTTATATTTCATTGTAAATTATTCACAATTATTATCATTTATCATTAAGGTTTTGTTACTTAATTAGTAAATGGTGAAATGTTGCTTTGTTTTATATGCATGTCTTTATACCCCTCCACAACGAAGTTAGGGGTAGTGTATACTGGATTCAGCTTGTCCGTCCGTCTGTCTAGAAAAATTTTGTGCAGACTCCTCCTCCTAAACTACAGAATTGATTTTGATAAAATTACACAGGAACGTTGAGAACCATGTGTAAATGCGCATGCAACCTTGTTTTAGCTCAGCTGACCCAAAGGACCAAGTGAACTTATGCGTCAACATTTTCCTTTGCACAACTTCTTTTCAATAACCAATAGACCAAATGTTTTGATATTTGGCTGGTATGTTCCTAGGATGAAACTCGACGTTTGCAAAATAAATGACCTCGACTTATATTCAAAGTCACTGGCCTGACCAAAAGGCAAAGAAGCATGGTATTTGATGGAAAGGGGTTTCTAAGGCAAAGCCCAGCAAATTTTGAGAAAAAAGATATGTCATCTACTTAAAATACAGGTCATAACTGTCACTGTTTAGAGGCGAGTATTAGTAGCTCTTTGTTATTGGTTAACATCGATTGGATGTGCCCACTTTGAATGCCAATGGTGTATATGCCAATATATTTGTGATGTGAACACTGATTCTATTTTTGATGAACATTGAATACCAGATGAGCGATACAGGCCCATTGGACCTCTCGTTTCCAGTACAACATTGGTTACCATGGTAACTAGTCTTTATAAATTTTTATTTTGTTTGAAAATTTTGTCTGGACATATTCTCCTACACTAATGTATCAGATTCATTTTTATAATACATCAGTGTTAGATACAATGTGTAAATGTGCATGCATTCCTTTTTAAATAACAAAATGTGTTGTTGCTTGGGTAATGGGTCATTATTAACTGGATTTTTGTCAAGACAAAGCCACATAAACTAGTGGATCAATTTCAATATAATTATATATAGTAATGATAGCAACCATGTGGAGATGTGCATGCAACATTTGTTCCCTAAAAAAAATTTGGTTATCATAACAACTGTACCATCTGTCCTTTCATAGAAAAAATTTGTCTGTCCTTAACTACTGGATCGACTATAACAGAATATTGGGGACCATGTGTAGATGTCCAGCAAAATATTGGTTACCATGGTAACCAGCCAATATATTTATTAAATTACAGTGTCAGTACTATAAAACTATATTATGCAATTGAAAAGGAACTGGGGTATTAGTCAGTGATTGGCTTACATTTCTAGCTTAAAGATAGATCTTTTTCACCAATACAGCACAGGAACTCTATGAAATTGCACTAGTTTACTTTGAATATGACTCCGGTTGGCATACCAAATATTTTGATGAATGAAATAATTTTGTCTAACCACAGTGATCATCTCATCCTGTGCCCTGTAAACTTAATGTTCCCTTCATTCCCCTTATTTATTAACATATTTTACAGCCATCACTTTCATGTATTGAACAAATAGTCTTTAAAGACCTGAACATGTTTCATGTTTTTAGCCGCCCATCTGATGGTCGAATCGCTCTATGTCCATGGTCCATGGTCAGTTCACCTGTATGTCTGTAAACAGGTTTTGTTTCTAGAGAATTAATTGAGATCTTTGTCAAATTTCAAGTGTAGATTCCCTAGTTGTGCCAGTTTGATTTTGGGACTTACCAGAAAAAACATAATGGCTTCCAGACGGCCATCTTGGATATTTTCACTGAAGATTGTAATCGCTATTTCTTGAAAAGCACTTGATGGTTCTCTCTCAAATTTCATTTGAGAAAAACAAAATGGCCGACAGGCAGCCATCTTTGATCTTGCATGATAAAGATTGTTATCGTTTTTCTTTAAAAGTACTGAATCAATCTCTCTCAAACTTCATATGGATGTTTGCTTTGGTTTCTACTTGTGCCTGTTTGATTTTGGGACTGATCAGAAATAAGAAAATGGCTTCAAGGCAACCATCTTGGATTTGGCAGTTAGATTATCATCACTGTTTCTGCTAATGAATGTTCAATTTTTTTAAGTGGAAAAACAGGGAAGAGAAAATAAGGGCAAAGATCCAACTTGCGAAGAGCATATAAAGATCAATGTTGGGCGCCAAGATCCCTTTGAGATCTCTTGTAATGTGAATGTTCTTCTTTTTATTTCAAATGATGCTTATAAAAAGGCTGCACTCCTTGTTCCATATTAATTGTGTCTGTTGCATATACATAATCAGTCATCATCTGTTGTGTGATAACCTTTGCAAAATTATGTCTTATTCAATTTCAAAGCAAGATTTAGAAATGTGTTTAAAATACAATTATTTAATTGTTGAAGTCTGTGTCCAGAATTTGTTTAACTATTTAGAGGTAACAAGGGCTTATAATTCCACTAGTCTTCAAACTAATTACACTTTCGTTTACAGTTTTAATTAGAAGCTGGTATTCAACAGTTTTGACATGTGAAATAGAAGCAATTAAAGGATATTTCAGACAAGCTGGGATTTTGTTTGTTGTTGTTTTTATGAAAATCTAGCTACAGACCAATTTTCACATGTTCCTGATTGAGTCAAAACACCTTCATACCTACAATACATAAAACATGGCAACTTCTTGGATTCAATCTTTATTCAGGAGCAATAAACAAATTTTTCATGCTTTTCATTATCTGTTTATTGTTTAAATATGTAGTTTTTAGGTTGAAATTATTGTTATTCCAGTTTTCGTACAGTGCCCTGTTTGGATCAGATCAAGTGATGAATATGCTTTATTTATTCTGATTTTTAGGTGATTTGACCAGAAGGGTCAGACTAATGTATAGCCATCGTATTTCATCCATCGTCTTGTGCCATATAGCATCCGTCATCTGCTGTGCACAAACTATCCATTCAAATAACTTCTCAATAACCAAAAGGTCTAATATTGGCCACGTAGCATGCATGGATGAAGGGCTACCAAGTTTGTTAATATGAATAACCTTGGTCCACTTTTTAAATCACAGGGGTCAAATGTGTCAAAATATTGAAATGACGTCTACTCAACAATCAAAAAGCCTAGGATGGTGATTTTGGTCTAGCAGCATGCTAGGGTGAAGGGCTATCAATTTTGTTCATTTGAATGACCTTGACAAACTTTTCAAGGTCATAGGCTCAATGATGTTGAAATGTTACAACGGCTTTTAAATAACCAAAAGATTCAGGGTGCTTATATTGGGCCTTTAGTATGCTTGGATGAAGGGTTTCAAGGTTTGTAACATGATTAACCTCGACCCTCTTTCAAGGTCACATGTATCAGGTATGTTGAAATCTTTAGATAACTTCTCAATATTTGGCCTGTAGCCTGCTGGGATGAAGCGCTGCCAAGTTTGTTCGTGTGATTTACCTTGACTTGCACAAACTGTACTTTCAATGACTTCTTAATAACCAAAGGGTCCAGACTGTATAACATAATTGCATGAAGGGCTTCGAAATTTATTCAAATGACATTGACCCGCTTTCAAGGTCTTTAGGGTCAAATATGTTAAAATCTTAAAATTCCTTCTTTCAATAGGCAATAGTTTTGGAGTCATGGTATTTGTGTTGTAGCATTTTAAAGAACAGGATTTCAAGTTTGCAGAAAATTGTTTCATTAAGCAACAATGTCTTCTTTGTAAGCATTATAGCAGTTGAGCAATTTAGGTCTATTTGGCCTCTTTTATATATAGGTTTGCACAGTCAGATGACCGCTAAGGCCCATAACTCCTAGAAATAAGAAGAGTCAAAAAAACTTCAAGCGGCCCCCTGTGGTATAAGAGTAGTACAGATATTAGAGATATCAGTTAACCCCGACTAACAATTACTTAGACCGGGGCTCTTTTACATTCAACAAAATGAGAATCTCCTGTCTAAGTGGTTGAGGTTTTGGTCATGGATTCGATAAAGAACAAGCATGATGACCTGTAATCTCCGTTGTAATAAAGAATGTAAACTGAAACCGATCGATTATATTTTGATTTCACTGATAACCAGTTTTCTGAAATGTGGACAAGGATGTAGATTGGAAGATAAAATTAATTATCAAACCACATTAAATTTAATTCTTTGTTAAAGCGAGAGAATGAAATTAAGGTTGTTGTATGTTATAATGCCAAGGTCCTTTTCTTTTGTTACCTGATCTAATGTAACCTCGACTCTTCCATTTCCCTCGTCTCTATATAAGTGTAACAGTGTATTATCGGTTTTCTTTCCTACGTGCAGAACTTTGCATTTGTCCGGGTGAAATTTCAAAGAGTCACTTATCGGACCATTATTGAAGCTTATCTCAATCTTTCTCGAAATTCAAGTTATCATTATGACTGTAAATTTTCGTATCATCTGCAAATAAATATGTTCTTAATAGTTTCCGGAAGATCATTGATGTAAACTACAAAAGGGTATGGGCCTAAAACGCTTCCCTGTGAGATCCCACTTTGTTACCGCCCTCCGGTCTGACATTTCCCCATATACTGTTACGCGCTGTTTTTCACCAGTTAAGAAACTATGAACCCATTCAATTATTTCTGGTGATAGTTCGTATGCCTTTAATTTGTCTAAGAACCTTTGATGTGGGACAGTGTCGAATGCTTTCATAAAGTCTAGATAATCTGTTTGGATTGATCCCCCTGATCGGTTACTTCTGTCCAATGATCAATAACTTTTAACATATGTAAGACAGTTGACCTTCCGTTGAAGAATCCAAATTGGTGATTACTTACGAGATTGTTATCTTCCAGGTGGGTCATTATTCTTGTCCTGATAATTTTCTCCATAGCTTTGCATAGTACACTCGTTAAGCTAATTGGCCTGTAATTTGCTGGTGATTTCTTGTCCCCCTTTTTGTGTTTAGTAGTAACCTGACCTTCCTTCCAGCCTTCAGGAAGTTCTCCAGATTTTAGGGAAGAGTTTACATAAAGGGGTTATATAATTGTTATTACATGAAAGATTTTAATGTTCTGTAATGTGTATAATTTGTTTCCGTTATCGGAGGGCAGGTCACAGTTTGACACCGTCTCCCAAACTTTGTGTCAGTCGCAATTTTCCTTGTCAACCGGAAAACCACTCGGGCCTTTCCGTTGAATGACGGACGGGTCCGAGTGGTTTTCCTATTACATGGCGGACACTCCAGTCAATCTAATTTACATAACATATTGCTTGTTTTCAATTTACGGAATCATGGAAATATTGATGGTATATACGACCATGGATTTGAATTGCTAATTTTGATGTATTTTCCATTAGATATTCATTCTGTGTAATATTTAAATAATGATGCTAATATTTCATGCACGTATGAACAAATTCACCTTGCAATAGAGAACTATTGAAATGATACCAACACCTGATGAGTTCCTCCCGTGGAGTAAATAGTATAATTTGTATTAATACCTTATAAACATGTATACGTCTAACTAAGTTTTATAGCTAGATTATCACGAGAAACAATAACAATTATAAAACTTTATATGTCCTATTTTGATAAATAGTGAAAAATGAAAATGTGATGAATCTGATCTCTCGATCGATACTCTCTGGAAAAATTCTACCGTGCGTGTATATATGGCCGAGCAATAAATCTATGTTACGTATAGGGGCATCCGTGGAATAAATCAAGATTTGAAAATGCAGACCGACTTTACCTGATTTCTGAAACTGGTAGTAAATACATCGGAGAGTGTTATAACCTCTTTATAATTCACCAGATCGATAGTGAGTTATGTAAAATCATCAAAAATATTAATCAAATGCATACGTACTGCACGTTTACAACGTTAAACAACACTTATCCTACAGTCCACCATGACAGGAGACAAGGTTGCTGGCACTCGTTTACATGATGGAGATATAATCGTCATCATTGTCTATTTTGCGTCTGTTCTACTCATCGGATTATGGGTAAGTTATATCAGTTGGAGAGTTTCGTCTGATGCTGTACGTACGTCATTTTGCACATGCTTCGTGCTCTGTCTATATTCTGCTTGATGACCTTCGAGTGTAGGTAACGGATTTCAACCACCAACAGTCTCAAACAACTGAGGTGGCGCTAACCAGGGTCGGTGCTGGCTGGGACCGTCGTTGTTATATCGTATTATCGCACATTTCTGTTATGGTGTGTGTTGAATTCTATCAACAAGTGACTTAAAGTTAAAAAGTTAGTTTGTATGCTTGAATCATATCTCCTCTCAATCTTCTGTGCCTCAGTGTCGGTAATTTAAGAATCCTTAGCCTGCTTTCATAGCTTAGGTCTTTCATTCTCGGTATTTGTTTCGTTGCTCTTCTCTGTACATTTTCCAACTCATTTATGTCCTTTTGCAGATAATGATTCCACACGCAGGCCCCATATTCAAGGTGCGGACGCACAAGCGCTTTATATAAAAGACAGATGACCTTTTTGTCTAAGCACGTGTATGTTCTTCGGATGGTTCCCATTATTCTACTGGCTTTATTGACTGCATCGTATATATGTTCGTTGAAATTAAGGTTGTTGTCTGTTATAATGCCAAGGTCCTTTTCTTTCGTTACCTGATCTAATGTAACCTCGACTCTTCCATTTCCCTCGTCTCTATATAAGTGTAACGGTGTATTATCGGTTTTCTTTCCTACGTGCAGAACTTTGCATTTGTCCGGGTGAAATTTCAAGAGTCACTTATCGGACCATTATTGAAGCTTATCTCAATCTTTCTCGAAATTCAAGTTCTCATTATGACTGTAAATTTTCGTATCATCTGCAAATAAATATGTTCTTGCGTTAATAGTTTCCGGAAGATCATTGATGTAAACTACGAAAAAAGGATGGACCTAAAACGCTTCCCTGTGAGATCCCACTTTGTTACCGCCCTCCGGTCTGACATTTCCCCATATACTGTTACGCGCTGTTTTTCACCAGTTAAGAAACTATGAACCCATTCAATTATTTCTGGTGATAGTTCGTATGCCTTTAATTTGTCTAAGAACCTTTGATGTGGGACAGTGTCGAATGCTTTCATAAAGTCTAGATAATCTGTTTGGATTGATCCCCCCTGATCGGTTACTTCTGTCCAATGATCAATAACTTTTAACATATGTAAGACAGTTGACCTTCCGTTGAAGAATCCAAATTGGTGATTACTTACGAGATTGTTATCTTCCAGGTGGGTCATTATTCTTGTCCTGATAATTTTCTCCATAGCTTTGCATAGTACACTCGTTAAGCTAATTGGCCTGTAATTTGCTGGTGATTTCTTGTCCCCCTTTTTGTGTTTAGTAGTAACCTGACCTTCCTTCCAGCCTTCAGGAAGTTCTCCAGATTTTAGGGAAGAGTTTACATAAAGGGGTTATATAATTGTTATTACATGAAAGATTTTAATGTTCTGTAATGTGTATAATTTGTTTCCGTTATCGGAGGGCAGGTCACAGTTTGACACCGTCTCCCAAACTTTGTGTCAGTCGCAATTTTCCTTGTCAACCGGAAAACCACTCGGGCCTTTCCGTTGAATGACGGACGG